TCAACTTCATAATCCAAGTCATAAAGTCATTTTTATGGAAATGTCGAACAAAAGTGCAAGCCACCAAAGTTCAAAGTTCACTCCAATCACTCAACTCCTAAATAAAGATGATTTTCAAAGATCACGTAATTCTATTAAATCAGACATTCTTGATTTTTTGTTTAGCATTTGCATTTAACTGTAATGTTTGGTTTTCAGATGATCTCTTAGCAAGCTGACAATGCCAAAATATATACCCTCTTTTAGAGAATTCAAGATGCCCTCTCTGTCTATAATACCCTGGCTCATCTTAATCAACATTTTCAAAGCCCTTTCATAGATGAAACAACAATTTTGAAATGTGAACATTTAATAACATTCAAATTAAGTCAAACAAAAAATCAATTTAATAATTGTTAAAACACATTTAATGATTTTATAAATAATTTTTATTGATTCTTTATGTTTTTCATCAATTAAAACTAAAAATTGATATTTATAAGAGTTCTATAGGGGATTGGGTTGTATATCTGAGGTATATAGACAGCCTGCCACCAACTGTTCAAGAAGATTCGTTTCACATCTCATATTTCTCCTAATTTCCTCCCATGTTCGTTTCTTGCCAAGTGGTGTGTAACTCTATCATGATGGATTCGAGATGGGTACAGGAAGCATTCCCTCAAAGGATAAAGTTTCAACCTTGCAATATGGCTGCTTTCATTCCATACATAATTTTATCAAAAATATCTTAATTCCAATAGTGTTAATCTATTAATGTATATGTTTATAATGTGATATTCATATCATTGCTGAAAAAATCATTCATAATGATATTCGTTCAGGTGAATCATGAAATAAAAAGGTTCTCAAAATAAAAAGGGAATTACCACTAAATTCACGCAAGCTGCCACCCTGGTTCACTGTTCAGTTTTTACCTATTTTTCTATTTTTAACCAACATTCAATCCTCCACAGCGCACATATGTATATTATGTCTTTGTCTGTACTTTATGTATAATGTTACTTGAACAGATGCATTCATTGCTTTGGGAACCTCATTTCATCTGATTTTAGTAAGTTCATAAGTGGATGCTACTGAAGCATCTCAGATCTTCCCATTAGTTTATCTAGGTTTATATTTTAGAATTAAAGAGCCTTTGTTTCATAGGTTTATATATACCAGTGAGCTCCAGAGGGTTTGATAAATTTTAATCACTTTGTAGTCTCTGTTTTTAGGATTGATTATGGAGAGTGAGTTTTTTTGTTTAAAGGGACTTAAAGGGATAGCAACAAATTGAGAGAGAGTTTGAAAAAAGTTTTAATTTTACTTTTTTTGTTACCATCCCATGTCATGGCTATTTTCTAAAAAAGTACAAGACTTTATTTCAGGATAATTCCTTGCTTTTAAAGCTAGTCTTGCAACCAAATCTTCAGTAACTTTATGTTCATATAGCTTAATTCGTTTTTCAGAAAATAAATTTGGATAAGGAGAAGATTGACATAATCTTGGACAAGATTGGATCCAATATTTTTCACTCTATCCCTTCTAATTCCTTAGTAAACCCTCTAATTCCTTAGTAATGCTGATGATTATCAAATGTAATTTATTTAATAGGTGTCATCAAGTATGAAGATATCATATTTCTCTAAGCATACAATGAAATAGGATGACCAGTAAAATGATCTGGTAATATGATTCTTAAGTTATAGGTGTTTAATATCATAATATCATTCTATGGGTTGGTTTTGTTTTTGTATTATACACTGAACTGTATTTACTGGATAACATAAATAAATAGCTTATACCTGATATTTTTCTATTAATGTGATATAGGTGAGAAAGAAAGTCTGTGCTATTCTTTTACTTTGTTTTTATTGTTAATTGTCTTGATGTAAAAAATCATGATGATATGCAATATCTTTACTTAAATAGTAAGTGTCTTTGTTTCTTTGTTACTTTCCTCAAATTGATAATATTGTTTGAATCATGATTATCGACTTCATTTTAATTAAGGTGGCTGTATACCAGGAGGCTTAAGGTGGCTGTATACCAGGAGGCTTAAAAATAAATACGATAAAATGTATATATTTTTTATATTTAATGACCAAATTGATAATTTTTGAATCATTAGCAATTTTATTTTATTAAAATACCTTTTAACATGGAGATCCGTTCTGACTTAATATAGTCTGATTTGACTCATGTATTGATGAGTATCTGGTTTGCTGACTTAAGACATTGATTGATAGAAGAGATAAAATATTAACACTGTTGTTTATGATCTATGATACACTAGCTACACCACTTAGTCTATAAAACACTGAACAAAAAATTGACATTTTCTCATCTTAATGTAACATTTTAACTGTTTTGTATTAAATTTAACACCATTGGAAGATAGGTAGAAGATTTTCAAATAGATAGAGATAAAATATTTTTTGGATGGAGTCCTAGACGATATTATTAGCCAGGTAGTTAGTCTGGCAAGGGTTTTCTTATCAATGATTAGGAATTGAGCAGTAGATCATGTTAACTCCAGCTAATTTAGCTTCCTTCAAAAACCTAACCCTATCTGAAAGTAACCAACATTTTAAAAGCTGAAATATGACAAAAATCACGTGAAATTACATCAGGTTCTACGGGAATTTTCTTATTTCAGTTTAATGCTTGTTTTAGGTACATTATTGGCTAAATGTGTAACTAAAGCTAGGGAGATCCTACAGAGTATAGATAAAGTGTATCAGATTCCCCAATAAATTGCACCTTAGAAAAACACATTTTCTTTTATTTTATATACAGTACCATATTCTCTTGAGATACTGAATACGTGATGATTAATAGCGAAAAAATAATAATAAATATGCAAATGCGAAAACATTCATAAAAAATCTATTTATAAAAAAGTAACTCAACACCTCGGCTATTCATATTTTAAATAAACATTTACATTTTCTCTTCAGTGTAATTACCTTTTATGGGAAAGGAGATAAAGAACGATGCATTGTGCCGATGTATAAATTCCAATAAAGAACATTTATGATGTCGATTTAAGTATACACCTTTCAAAAGACAAAAGTTTCTTGTTTTAATTTATGTTATGGGTGAGTCATCCTGGTTTGGCTGAGGTATTCCACCTTCATGCACAATGAACAGACCTTTCTCATCTTCACAGTATCCACCCTTGCAATTCAGTGTCTCATACAAATTTTCATACACATTGTATTAAAAGTCACCCCCACATGAATAAACTTGGAGATTTTGAATTACATTTTCAAAATATTTCTCGGGAGTTTTTCGCGAGTTTTTGATCGGTTATTTATCTGTGACGCAGTTTTTGTATGATGGGGTATATATACTACTGCTCAATTTCTGAGTTGTTTTTGTAGAATTCCTTAGGTTGAAATATGATAGCATTCACTTTATCAGTTTGTCTGGTAAGGTTTCTAGTGTATACTTATCAGGCTACTTATCCAGTACCTACATAGAGAGGAGAGATGTATGCCTTTGGTATATTGCTATCTCATCATGCCTATCTTATAGCCATAAAAAGATACACAAATCTAAAAATATATGGAATGCAGATATAATATTGAGGTGTTTTGATTTCAGATGTGAGACACTTTGTTTGATTCCTTTGGTTTATAGGGTTTTTGGTGTTTTATGTTTTCTGAATGTTGCCCTTTGTGCTCTCTCGTCTGACATCCAAGTGCAATACATCAGTAAGACTTCAATCCTGGATGATATGTGTAAATGTCCGCTTTCCTTTACTTTCCAAGTTCCCATATGCATCATGGTAACTGTATTAATATTTATTTATTTTTTGTCCAGGGGCGTTACAAGAATCTAAAACTTGGCAAGGGAAAAATTAGCAACTGAAGTGAATTTAGGTTTATAACTACATTTGGACGTAATTTCCATAGTTTTGGTTAAAAAAGTCTCAAAAATATATTGTATGTAAACTTTTTCTGCATCGTGTTCATAGCAGGTCATGAGATCAGATGAGTATCAGACTAATGCCCACTGGAGTGGGTGGGGATGCAGGGGTGGATCAAGGATTTTGTGTTAGGGGGGGGGGGCATGTGATGATAACTGTGAGCGAATTAAAAAAAATATTCAAATTTTGTAAAAAGCAATGAGGAAAAACACAAATTTCCCGACTTTTTAGGGGGGGAAGTGCGCCCCCCTCGCCCCCGTCTAGATTTGCTGGTGGGATAAAACATAGCTCATATCACTCTGTCGATCACTTTTATGGGCCATTGTTACAAGAAGCCTCTTGTTATGGGATTGGAAAACATAATCTTAAGACTTCTGACTGAATTAGGTTTTTGTGCTGTTATGATTAATTCTGATTTATATACACACCATGCACCGACATTAGTTACTCCAGCCCCCTTATTAAGTTACAACTTACAACTGGTACAGTGGGTCATTGTAACAGTTCTGCCTGGCTTGAGAAATTCCATGAATTCTGATAAAATTTTTGTAAAATATTCTTTTTTTGGTAACGCAATCTCAAAGCATTTCATTTCATGCTGTCATGCCTCCTTTCTTTCTCTGCAGACACTTGATTCATACAAATTCCAGATTCTTCAATTGTAGCTTGATTACAATAAATGTTATCATATGATATACATGAATTGAAGGAAGTTTGTCAGAAACAGTCAGAAAATATGTAACATAGAGTCTATTGATTTCCTAATTTATTCTTATTAAGAAAGATAACAGTCAATGAAACTGCGTGGAAAAGGGTAATAAAAAATATCGTAGTTGTCATTTTTTGAAATACTACAGCAATGATAAATGAGAATTCATTTTCCTCTTTTTTAAATTCTCAACCCCATTGCCCCCAGTCCCCAATACCTTTACCCAATTTGAATTAGATTTAATTGAAACTTATTATGGACACCCTGTATATTTTCTCTGAATCTTATCAGGCTGCAAGGATCTCAAGATTGATTGGAACTATCCCTTCTCCCCCCCCCTCAAGTTCTATTTATCAATTTAGTTATTTGTGATTTCAGAATTTTGCCGAAACAACCATGAACGAAATGCTAGGTTGGTATGGCTATGAAAAGATCTGCAGTGGAGAGACAGAAAAACTAAACCTGAACCGCTATGAACGTCCTGACGATGAATCTGATTCTGAAAATGAGGCTGACTGTGACGTGCCACGACAGAGAATTCAAGTTAAAGATGGCGCCAGTAGAGATGTAGATGTTACAGAAGATGGGAGGAAGGAAGGTATAAAAATACAGTGTTAAATAAATAAAATGTTAATGTATGGTTAACAATTCTTTTTTCTCATTCATCAATTGGTAAATTGTTACAGGATATAGATACTTATCCTATGCCAAGTAGAGTTTTAGGGAGATAAGTTGGTAAGATATATCCCGTATCCTGATTTTGAGGTTTCCATATCCAGAACCTCCATATCTCCCGCCATATCTCCCGCTTCGGTGCATATCTTCCCGCTTCCGGTGCATATCTTCCCGCTTCCGGTAATGCAATAAAATGACTAAGTTGCATATGAATGATTTGTTTATTTTTATTGAAATGGGCATATGCCCCTGAAAACTCTACTTGGTATAGGCATGGTATAGGATAAAGCAGTTATGTACGGTCAGTTTGAATATTGGGTTCATCCCTCGTGAGATATGCACATCTACCTTCGGTCCCTGCGGTCCCTCAGGTAGATATGCATACCTCCCTCTGGATAAACCCCATATCCAAAACCTCCGAGTACATAACCCTTATATATTATATTTAGATATTTCATATTCCTTATAACTACTATTCTAGTATATCACATATCATATTTCAGATAATTTGATATCCCTTATGTAGCTACCTTATGTCATACATATAAATCTTAATATTTGAACATTAACCTTTCCATATTAATGACGTCATGATATCACCATGTAAGCTTATGTAACAATGCACTTCACATAAGCAGGAGTTTTCAAATCCGTGGAAAAGAGTGATATCTGTGGAATATTCTCCATATTCCACAGATATCGCTTTTTCCATGCATTTGCAAAATATCATAAATATATATATGTGTTATTCTACAGATTTGACCTCAACTATGGGATAATATAGGAATATCCTATGGTTTTGAAAAAATATCATTTATATCCATGAGTGGATATTGATATCTGTTTGAGTGAGCGCAGCGAATGAGTGAAGATATTTGTATCCATGAGTGGATATAATTGATATTTTTGAAAAACCATAGGATTGTCCGTTTATCCCATGGGAAATCATCATAAGCGAAAAAAGTTGAAAAATATAATTTGAGAAAAAATTTTGAAAAAATGTTGACAATTTTTTTTGAAATTTTGAAATTTTTTAAAAATATTTTTGAAAATAATTAAAAAATGTAAAAAGAATTTTTTTTTGAAAAAAATCGAAACTATTGAATATCACTTTTCAAACCATTGAATATCACTTTTCAGACCATCGAATATCACTTTTCAAACCATTGAATATCACTTTTTAAGACGTGATATTCAATAGTTTAAAAGTGATATTCGATGGTTTGTGAATTTTTTGATAAAATATGATATCTTGATCCACATATCAAATATATTTTCATGTGATATTCGATCTTTATTCCATGATGGTGAAATTCCCTGCAATCTGATTGGTCCATGTGACTTAAATATATCCTGTATTTACACGCACTTTCCACTTAGCATTGAATACAGAGTGAAAATGACGTCAGCGTTGGGATACGGTCCAGTATCCCAACGCCCCAGATTTCCATCCAGGATATGACTATTACTGAAAAAATCAATGGCGATCTGATAACACCAACGCATGCTAATATTTGCATTTTGCTAGAAATATCTGATTTGAATATCAGGAAATGATACGGTGATCACCACAATTTATTATTTTAGGATAAAAAACACTCATCTGTAATTATAAAAAAATCAGTATGAAGCATGCACATTGTTTTCATGAACTAGTAAAAATCCAATATGGCAGACGAAAGTCGAAAAAACGTTTCGTTAGCTGATGAAATTGATGAAAAATGTTGAAGAAAATCAAACGTATCGTTAATACAATAAAAGCAAAACAACAAGGCCGAAAAGATTTTGAAGGAATATCGATGTAAAATATTTTTGAGGTGAGAAGGTTGATCTGTTTCTTCGGTCCCAAGCCAAGGAAATGGACTTGATTTAGGGGAGTTTTATCTGAGTAATCATGGAATAAAAATGTTATTCAATGATTTCTCGTGAAATACAGAAAATATTCTTCCCTTGAACGTCTGTATTTCACTCTGCTAGCGCATCGTGAAATACGACCTTCTCGGGAAGAATATTTTCTGTATTTCACTCGAATCATTGAATAACTTATAATATCCTTGCAACCATGGGATAAAATTGTATATTCCATATCTGCTTAATGCTAGATATCAAACATTGAATTAATCCCAGTAGATAAATGTTTGACAGATCAGAAATGTTTGGATTTTCAGAAGTGCGTAAAGGGACCTCAGACTTGGCCACTCAACACCAGAATTTAGTATCTGCTCTAACCAATGGAATTGTCACTGCCCATAAGAATGCACTTGGTAGGTATTACTATGGTGATTGGGTATATGGGGTTATACCCGTAGGGAGAAAAAATGTATGCTTATTTCTATATGGTTTGGCATCCATTCTTTTTCTTCATTTTAGCTTATATCTAACCACAGTATAAAGTAACTGTATATTGGAATGCATGGCTTTGAGATTGATTGGATGTGAGTGTGAAAATAAAAGGGCGGGGTGAAATAAAAGATATGCCCCTAGGGGAAGTAATTCATATCCCATGTATCACCACCCATGCTTTTTGAAGAATATGAATAGATGATCCTAGATAGATCATGATTATGATATGTCACCAGGGTAAGGTTTCACGGTTACACCACATGTTCAAGCTTCTACTGAAAAGTTATGAAAGTTTATTACGTTTTTTTGTTCGCTCAAAATAGAAGTATCACGCACTTATTGTTCTTTCTATAGAGACTGGGTGATCGTATTACCTGTTTGGATTGGCTCATGGTGATATTTGAGAGCTATTATATCAAAATGGGTTATCTTGTCAAGATTATGTTTCACTATTATGTTTGAAAAAATTAATTTAAAATATCATGTGTCGCTATTGTGTATATGATCGAGTGGAGTTAATAAAAAGCTGAGTTATTGAGTTGTATGTATAAGCAATTTGATCCCATGCTAAATCAAATTTCTGATCCCCATCTAAAAGTGTCATGGGAATCTGCCAGGATGATCTTTGTTATCAGCAACTATGCGTATAATACTTTTCTGAAACTATGTAGCGTAGTTGATTTACGTCATTGGATATGTGATATTTGTATGATATGTAATCTTTTTTTGTTTAGTATTTGTTACAAACTATTTTAACATACTGACATCATGTTGATGTAGGTTTTTGTCATGTAAGACAAGACAAATTCTAGGCTGATGATCTAAATTCTATCTAATTATTTGAATTCTAGATGATGATTTAAATTCTAGGGGTTGGTCTTAATCCTAGATGATGATCTAAATTCAAGATTGGGATCTAAATTATATCTAATGATCTAAATTCTAGATGATGATTTAAATTCTAGATGATGATTTAAATTCTAGATGATGATTTAAATTCTAGATGATGATTTAAATTCTAGCTGGTGATCTAAATCCTAGATGATGATCTAAATTCAAGATTGGGATCTAAATTATATCTAATGGTCTGAATTATAGATGATGATTTAAATTCTAGGGGTTGATCTTAATCCTAGATGATGATCTAAATTCAAGATTGGGATCTAAATTATATCTAATGATCTAAATTCTAGATGGTGATTTAAATTCTAGCTGGTGATTTAAATCCGAGATGATGATCTAAATTCAAGATTGGGATCTAAATTGTATCTAATGATCTAAATTCTAGATGATGATTTAAATTCAATATTGTGATCTAAATTATATCTTGGGATGATGATTTTAATTCTACCTGATGATCTCCATTCTAGATGATGATCTAAATTCAAGATTGGGATCTAATGTCTAACATCTAATGATCTAACTTCTAGTAAATTCTAGTTGATAATCTAAATCATTCTCGATGATCTCAAGTCTACCCGATGATCTCAATTCTACCCAATGATCTCAATTCTACCTGATGATCTTCTAATTTCACATGCAGTATTCTCCTCCTTGCTCATTAGTTCAGTTTAATTTGTGGTTTTTTATGTGACATTTTGTATCGAGGCACTTATCATTTTACTAACTATTATTGAGGTTTCAATAAAACACATAGTTTTATTTTAGTTATTTGAGTCGAGTTTTACAGCCTTTCATACAAGCAGATGATGTCACACTTCAAAAATACGCAGTTTACAATTAACTCATCTTACGGAATTAAATGATTTGTGATAAAATGTTATTACCACATGAACAATGTTAAAAGCCACTCAACGAGACGTAAACGTGTTAGAATATCGGAAATGCCTGAATGGATCTGTTAAGAGACACAATTGGATAAAATACATGTCACCCGATCTTAACATAACTAAAAATACTTCATACATTGAATTCAAGTCGAAAATGACATGTTATAAAATCTGCTTTTGATATATCTACATAAAAATTCAATGTAAAACGAAACCTATAATAGCTAGTCAGTAGTTTAAAATAATATCAATTTTAGTTAATTATATAGTATTAAATTGTAACGACACTTGAAATACGAGAATTTTGTTGGCTTGATCCACTTTATAGGATTTTCTCAGAACTTTCTATTATTCACTTGAAAAGAAATCTGATCTGATAGTAGTTTAAAGTGAAAAGTGTTTGAAAACTACCACTTTGTTCAGATTTTCACACCATCACTGTATATCTCCCATGTAATTGACAGTCATCATTTTTTGAAGTATGTATCATATTCATAATTGTATATTTGTTTATGAGTCAAATAAATAACATTCATGAGCCTCAGTAGTGAGGGGAACAGCTAGGAAAGATGCAGATATCTAATGATCAAATATAAAGAATAAACTCAGTTTCTCGTTTTACTTTCTCTTTTTTTCGTTTCACGATTTGAATGATTTCATAAATCACACTCATAGAATATGCTTATATATATATTTCAACTCAATATAGCTGCATAATGCAAAATTGATGATGATCGTTTATTTTTATTACTGTTGTCTCCTTAAGGTAGAGAATTAGGTCTTTGTGCCCCATGAGTGCTCTAGAAACTCCAGAGTCACGTCACATCAAAACATTGGTGCACACTAGTGAACATTGATGTCATCCTGATTTGACTTGTTGACACCCCTCTAAAAATACACTTGCTTAAAAACTATTATTAGTAGTTTTCTCCTCTCACCCTTTTAGCTCTTCAACTAGGTAAATGTTTACTCAATAAACCAATTTGTAATAAACTTTGTAAAAAATATAATTGCCACATTAGTACTGATATACTGATATTGAATATTACTGTTTTCCATGGGGCCATTAACAGAAACTTTTTAAAGTAAAGAATTCGTAAAATCCATTGTTCTCTAACTGAGGTCATTATATCCATGGTTACAACTATTGATTTACAAATTCATAATTTTAAAACAAGCAAGAGACAATCATATTCAGTAAAATCTATATACATGTATCTGAAATCTGAAGCCTTTTTTCATTCTTATTTTATAGTCTGCCATAGATGTTAAAAACCTCGAAATGTGAATACCTTCCAATTCGAACACTTTTGGCTTGTGCCAGTGTCGTTCGGATTGGAGAGATTTTATACTGCATAACATTTATTTTGACATAAGTAAATGCCATAAGATCTATAGGTAAAAAGTATCAAATATCTATGATGACATCTCTGATGGAGTATTTGGTCAGGAGCCTAAGTACCAAAAGCAAATAGCATTGCACTAAAACTCTTTACTTCTCTGAAACTGATCCGTTTTTTGATTAACATCAAGTATGAATTACACACTCCTGACATAATGATATAAAATAGTCTTTTGAAATAGTGTTCTGTTACAGAAGCGCGTGCTTGGTAATGTGTTTAAAACGGGATTCTAAGCCCGAAGAAGTATTACTAATATAATATTTATTTGATAGGGCATTTGTTGTTTAATGCCATGAATTAGGTGATAAGTACTATATTAGGTATAAAAAGTTGAATATGCAAGTATTGTTTGTGGCGTAGGAATGGAAAGTGCAATCTAGATTTGTTACTAATTGTAATGATACATGCATATCATATCATATCATATCATATCATATATCAAATCATATCATAACATGTTATACTTTTCATCATATGATATTTAGGATCATACCACTGTTCATACCAGTGTTCCTAATCCTTCCAAGATATTTTCTAAAGTAGATGGAAAATTCTCCCAATTCTACCAAAATATGGTTAAATTACTCCTATTTTTAGCACGCTATGCTAAAGCATTAAGTGTTCAGTGGTGAGTGGTTAGCATTGGGATTCAATATCGGTAACATAGTGTTACATTTTTGTAACCCTTTCTTAGAACTAGTTACTATACCATGAGTGACATTTTTGAATGATAAATCTTGTTCATGATTTTTCTCAGTGTCAGGTGAATGCAAAAAGTGGTTTTACATAAAATGGGTAAATGGGTTATAATGTTTGGGAATGGGAGAGGGTGTGTAATTTGAATGCAGTATATCATAATGAAAATATCATTACAATCTGAATTTTCTTCAGACTAGGCATTCATTTACTATATTTGTCTTACATTTTCCACATGGAGCTTGTGTCTTCTGTCCTTGACACTTTCTTGTGAATATTATATCAATTAGTCATTAGATCCATGAGGTTTCAAGAAAAACCCATGTTATATCATAATATGATTATACCAGCCGATATGCCATGCCATCTATAATATTCTACGATTCTCTGTTGTCTACAATATTCTATTGTGACATCAACAATATTGTACATAACATTTACAATATTCTCTTATGACATCTACAATATACACATGAGTTCATTTTTAAATAAAAAGTTTCCTATTTACAAAATGTAGTTTACAATTTTTAGTAATTTATAAAGGCATCTTCTATATTCTATTGTGACATCTACAATATTTTACATAACATTTACAAAATTCTCTCATGACATCTACAATATACACAAGCTACAATATAATGTGTACATTACACATATTCCAGGAACAAACATGAGTTCCTTTTGAAATAAAAAGTTTCCCATTTACAAAATGTAGTTTACAATTTTTACTAATTCATAAAAGGCATGGTATCGGCAGCTTAATATCAGCTTATTAAGATGAGCTAAATGTGTCAAGTAACATTAGCTAATGATAACACATCCTCGCTAATAATACACTACCAATATAGACATAATGATAAAATGAAAAATAGATTATGTATAGATTATATGTAATCTACTTAGAGATCGGTCACATTGACCCAATATATCAATTTTTAGGACATTTACCTATTTATCAAGTGTCTACATTGTATCATGTTATCATATCAAATGAGAAATGAATCAAAATCAAGGGCTTAATGATGTAATATGGCCCATAATGCATTAACTGAATTCTCATTAGTACGTTTTCCTGTTTTGTAGCATAAAAGGAGAATATATGAAACTCTTATTTGTTACGTACATGTAAAATACATGTATTGTAATTAGTGAATTTTTACCTGAGATATGACAGGTGTAGCGAAAGTTTTCAATATCACCATGTATCAAATACATTTAAATAAGGCACAAAAATCCATTTATAGAAGTGAAGTGAAGTGAATAAAGATAATATTGTCATTCAAATCATTATTACGAAATGACCCATATAAACATGGAAGACATTAAATTGACTTAATTAAATAAAATAGTTTGAAAATCATTATAAAAAGACATATACTTATTACTATCAAAAGGGGATTTTACCACTTATAATCACTCCAATCTTGTTTTTCATAGAGTCGGTCGAAAGCCTGTCTATAACTTCGTTATTTCATTCATGAGGGCTCCAACCTAATCAACGACGTTGAGAGTTATTCTGGCGTAGTCAATGAATTGTCTGTCTATTATTCTATTAACAAAATAAAAACACCCATTTCTGAGACTTTACGATATCTCATTGCACCAAATCAATTCTAAACCTACGGGGAGAGTTATTGGGTTTCACGAGTAAATGATGAGTTGAAGGCATACGATATCCAAGAAAGTCATCGAAGACAAGTCAAATATTTGCGCTATTATGGCGTGTGTTCAATCCACGTAATCTCACAAATGCAGATATTATATAACAAGACTTGAATTTCCTATAAATTGTGACATGTGTTTGGTATAAATCACACTTGAGTTTTCAAATATGTAACTCGAGTATCAAAAACTCATAAATGTATTCTCCAGAAGTGGAAATGTCTTGTTAGTTTTGTAGTTTTAATGTCGATTTAAACAATTGGCCTTGTTAAGCAAATATTGTTAAACAGCCATACAGTATTATATTACTCATTAGACTAAAAGTGTAAAAATTCGATCATTTTTTTATTGGGGAAAGATAATATTTTCAGAGCAGTTGTTATGTTGTCAGCGTTTGATAGATTGATCTTCAACGTTGCCATTGTAGATTTTGAAATTTATACGAGTCATAGACACCTAATGAAAACATAACCATTTTAATCATTCTTTCAAAAATTAAATTACTTCTCAGTTCTAAAGCAGCCTTCAATATAATGATATATTAAAGGTCAAGGAGAGGCCATGTAAAATAGAAAACTTCTTTGTAATGTAAAATAGTAAATTACTTTTAAAACGTAAACAGTAAATTACTTTGTGAATTGTAAAATGAGTATATTTTTTGTAAGAGTGGAGTTTGACAATCATTAACTATTATAACTACAGCAACAGGCATTTCAACAAATTTTATTCATTTTATGAATAAAAATGATCCTTAGTAATAATGGCAATAATGGGGGTGTACTAATAAATAATAAATACTTCCATTACAAATAAATGATAAATACCTGAGATTTCTTCGAGTTTTCATTACAAATAAATAATGAATATCTTAACTTTAGTTAAATGAATTACTAAGTTAAATGGGTTATGTTTATTAATGTACCAAGAAACATTTCAATTTGATTTATAAACTACTAAAAAGTATCCAAAAAAGATAAAAATATTTCTGATCATAAATCATTTTTTCTGATTTCATTCATAAATCACTCAACAAGGTTATTGTTGGGAATATCTGACTGAAAATCTGAAATTTCGATATGCTTCAATTTTTGTTGATTTAAAGTCTGACAATAGTACCGGCAGACAAAAAGGCTAACTAGATGGCTCAATTTCACCTTATTTGAATTATCGATCCCCACAATGAAATCCTAGTCTTAATTTTCAACTTTTGTTGGATTAGATATCGTATATGATACCCTGTCTAGATTGAGTCAACTAACTTTTTAATGAATGTTTTATATCTCTTGGCTCAAATTTCTACGATTTGTTCTCAAATTTGACAAGCATTGCTGGAAATCCTTTGATGTCATTAAAGCCTGGAGTAGAATTACGTATTATTCAGCAGCCAGCTTATGTAGGCTTCTGATAAATCGAGCTTACGATATAAATTTTTCAGAATAATTGTAAAATGTATCTCTCATCCTGGGTGATCTATCTTGATTGTATTACACATTTACTGGCTGTGTTGTACATCTAATGGTGGTGTTACACATCTAATGGTTGTGTTACACATCTTCTGGTTGTGTTATATATCTGTTGATTGTGTTATACATTTGCTGATTGTGTCACACATCTAATGATTGTGTTACACATCTTCTGGTTGTGTTATATATCTGTTGATTGTGTTATACATTTGCTGATTGTGTCACACATCTAATGATTGTGTTACACATCTTCTGGTTGTGTTATATATCTGTTGATTGTGTTATACATTTGCTGATTGTGTCATACATCTACTGGTTGTGTTACACATCTTCTGGTTGTGTTATATATCTGTTGGTTGTGTTATACATCTGCTGATTGTGTCATACATCTTCTGGTTGTGTTACACAGAGGGTGAAATAAGAAATAGGATAGACAGTAAATTAAACTCAACAATTTGGCATTCATGATTTTCAGAATAAGCAAAAAATTCTATCTATCGATTCAATGGTACAAATATGTACATGCGCAAGTGCCAATAATTAACAGCTTGTGTAAAACGCAACATTTAATATTTAAATAAGAATCATTAAAACTAAAGATAATCTGTTTTCTATGACATGGTTGATTCTTGCTTTAATCAATGTTAGACTTGTTAGTAAATGTTGATCGAATCAATCTTACTCAAAAGTACTTAGGTAATCATCTTGTAATGATACACCTTTAATTCAACAAAACATTATTCAAATACACACACGTAAGCATCATATTACCGCCAGGCTTCCTCTTGAACCAATAGTGCATAGTATCATTATTAATGTTTATGAAATGGGCTCAGGTAGCGACATTTGGAAAAAGTATGTTTTGAATCAAGCAAAATGAGTTCATTTCAAACAAATAAAAGGCCCCAGGTCTGTACTTTAAGAAAAATGATAGTACACTTTATATCAATTCAGAATCCCCATTCTCCGAGTAATTACTCAATGGTATCCCCAGTCTCTGAGTAATTACTCAATGGTATCCCAAGTATCTGAGTAATTACTCAATGGTATCCCCAGTCTCCGAGTAATTACTCAATGGTATCCCCAGTCTCTGAGTAATTACTCAATGGTATCCCCAGTCTCTGAGTAATTACTCAATGGTATCCCAAGTATCTGAGTAATTACTCAATGGTATCCCAAGTATCTGAGTAATTACTCAATGGTATCCCCAGTCTCTGAGTAATTACTCAATGGTATCCCCAGTCTCTGAGTAATTACTCAATGGTATCCCCAGTATCTGAGTAATTACTCAATGGTATCCCCAGTCTCCGAGTAATTACTCAATGGTAGAATGTTGCTAACTTTCTACATAAATCGTTTACTATATTTGTTAAGATTTAGATAATAAACGTTTTTTGTGGTGGTTGAATATATAATACATGGTGAATGATTGAAGAAACAGGTGAATAAAGGTATGCAGTAAAATTCATATTCAAAAAAGGGTATTGATTATCTATTTATACCAATTTTTACCTGTGTTGAAAAGTATATAAGGGTTATGTTCTGGGAGGTTTTGGATATGGGGTTTATCCAGAGGGAGATATGCATATCTACCTGAGGGACCGTAGGGACCGAAGGTAGATGTGCATATCTCACGAGGGATGAACCCAATATCCAAACCGACCGTACATAACTGCTTTATCCTATACCAAGTAGAGTTTTCTAATTTTCTTTCAATTTCTTTTTATTGTTTCCATTTCTTCACATTTTTCTAATTTTTTTTCAATTTTTTCAAATTTTTTTTACATTTTTTTTCAATTTTTTAATTTTTTTCAATTTTTTCACAATTTTTCAATTTTTTTTTCGAAGCGGGAAGATATGCCCTGGAGCGGGAGATATGGCGGGAGATATGGAGGTTCAGGATATGGAAACCTCAAAATCATGATACGGGATATATCTTACCAACTTATCTCCCTAAAACTCTACTTGGCATAGGATAAATGTATTTATATATGATTCACTTGAAAGTTATGTTGATTTAAAAAACAAGAATGTGTAGCAATATTCTTCAGTGCAAACAAGTATGTCTACTTACTAACTACTTTTATTATTTTAATTAAAGAATTCATTTAATGATTTTATAAACTAGAATTTAATTGTTTTTCCAGATGGAAGCCGTTATGCCTTGTGTAATTGGTGTCAGAAGTTTGGGGTCACTCTGTACTCCCTGAAAACCACAAATGGAACTAAGAAATTTTGCAGCGAAGATTGTTTTACGCAATGTAGACGTGCATCATTTAAAAAGAACAAAATATGCGACTGGTGCAAACATGTGCGTCATACTGCAGACTATGTCGAGTTTCAAGATGGCGAACAACAATTTCAATTTTGTAGTGATAAATGCTTAAATCAGTATAAAATGAACATTTTCTGTTATGAGGCCCAGGAACATTTGATTCAGATGCAGTCAAAATTGGAAACAGAGAAAAAATCAATGCCGAGTCCTAAAAAACAAGGAAAGGAGGTTCTCATAACACCTGATTTATGGACACAATCCAAACAGGATAAAACTGTTGCACAATCGCATCTCATGATTGATGAAGCAGAAAAACCACACAATGCTTATCCTGAAGACAGGATAAAATTGAGGAATCATGATCGTAAGAGAGCAAGATTACTTGAAGCCCCCATATTAGGGCATGAATCAACTTCGACACCACAATCTGAAATGGACAGTCGTGCATCTAGCCTCTCACCAGCGACATCAGATGGGTCGTCAATTTCCCCCTTGAGTCACAAATTATTATCAAGTTTACGTGATCTCCCGGGTGGACATGGAATGTTACTGAAGGAAGCTCTCACCAGTTCCCGACCAACTGTGGTGCGTGCGCCGCTCAGTGGTAACAGTAGCACTTCAGCAGCTGTCTCCCCAGCCCAAGCCAAAACTCCAAACCAGAGACCTAATGGTACTTCCACACCTCCTCTGATACAGATCCCCGCAGGAAACATCCCACCCATGTTTCTACCCCCAGGTATGCCTATGCCTGGGTTACCCTTACCCCCCTATCCTTACCCTCCATACCCGTGTCCTCCAGGCATGCCAGGATTCGCACCTCCACCAACACTTATGGTGCCGTTCCCATTACCTATACCAATACCTATCCCAATCCCTGTGCCTTTCCCAGTGAAAGATGGGAAGCCTGTCCTCCTGCCTGAGTTCTCCAGGCCCAGTAGATGTAGCAGTAGCAGCAGTGAAGGACATACCCAGAAGCCCCCACTCAGTAGTGATATAGAAATCGTTAGAACGAACTATTTAATCAAAGAACCAAACACTACCAGCAAGGACTATCAGAATCAAAATGAGCGATCCCCGTCTAGGCAGAATGACTGTTCCCCACCTATGTATATTGATCGGTCCCTATCTAGACACATTGATCAATCATTTCAAAGAAGGAGAGAGCAATCAACAGAAAGGCAGCATGATCGGTCCCCCTCTAGGGAAAGAGTAGAGGTTGTTGAGAGACACTATCTTGTGTCACCAAGGTCAGACAACCAATCTCAACCTTCTCCGTTATCTAGTCCAAATAGCATGAAATTGAGAACCGAGCCCTGTAACACACAAAATTCAACTGTAAGTAGCATGGACTATTATGAAAATGAGGCCATGGATTTGTCACAAGATAAAAAACGTCCATCACTACCTGAGCGCCCTCTATCTAATAGCAGCTCCATGGGTAGATTGAGCCCACGAGTAAGTCCCAGAGTTTCCTTTTTGAGTGATGGTAAAATGGTACCACATGGTCTTGTACTACCTATAATTACACCCCCTGCAGCCCCTGATGTCAAACCTGAGCCCCCCTTAGTTGTTGTAGATACACCATTGAAGCCACCCTTGGACAGTAAATACTCCTCAAGGAGAGGTAGAATACTTGATGCCCCACAGGTTCCCCCTATAAAGAAGCGCAATCGAAGCCCTTCACCAGAAAGACATCACTATCGTCACGATTTCAGATCTGCAGCTTACCCGAAACGAAAGTGTTTCAGACCGAAACTAAACAAAACCAAAGTTCTAGTTAGGAATTAGATATGGTGTTTATCCCATATTGCCTCTCTAAGATATACCACAAAAATATTCTATTTAAATTTATTTATTAACACTCAATTATAATGAGCATAAATTATAAATAATGCATTTGTAAATTTCACATGTTTTGAGCTCATGTAACAAGATGAATTCTTGAAATTGTGAGGTAAAGTAAGAAAGTATACAACACTTGATTTACATTTAGGTGGGCAGAGAGCAATGATTTGACGTTTAAACATGTATTCAATGTAAAGATTGCATGTTAAGGGACTATGTCAGTGATCCAGATAACTAATTCTACTCTCTGCCTTCCTTAAGAAAGTGTAATATTATATCATATTGTAATTAGATAGGCACTAAACATGCATCCATGGCCAGTAGGTACCCAAAAACAATGTGCAATCTGGATTGTTGCAATCTAACAATGTGAAAGTTAACATTGTTACAATCTACAATCTGGATTGTTGCAATCTGACAATGTGAAATATAACATTGTTGCAATCTGCAATCTGGATTGTACAATCTGTATTATACATCCTCTCAGAATGGCAACAATCTTAGCAATACTGCAAAGTGCAGATTGTTGCAATGCGTGCAATCTGCAATCTGGATTGTTGCAATCTGACAATGTGAAACATAACATTGCTACAATCTGTAATTAATGTAGCAATGTTGCAATGTGCAGATTGTAGCAATGTGTGCAATCTGCAATCTGGATTGTTGCAATCTAACAATGTGAAATATAACATTGCTGCAATCTGCAATCTGGATTGTAAAATCTGTTTATACATCTCCTCTCAGAATGGCAACAATCTTAGCAATGTTGCAATGTGCAGATTGTTGCAATGTGTGCAATCTGCAGATTGTTGCAATAGGTTTATACTTTCAGAATCTAATATAACCTTAACATTGTTGCAATATGAATATTGTTGCAATGTGGATTGTGCAATGTTAATAATTAATATTATTATATGATATACACAATCTTTGTAATAGTAAACTATTTAGATGGTTACTCAATAGCAAATATAATGTGCAATATAATGTGTACACTATTGGAGTCAGCTTAAGATTGGCACAAGAATTTTAAATCTTTTATTATGAACGTGCTGAAATATAGTTTTAATTACTTTCATTACTTTGTTTATTTTTTATTAAGAACTCTCTCTTTTGAAGTGGGAGAGTTGTATGTAGCCCCCATGCTTTGTTTCATCGTATCATATGTTGTTAATGAGATGCTGTTTCATGTGCAGTCTCTCCCCAAAGTGATATCTGCTCATTAAGAAGAAATTAAATACTGTTCAAGATAATGAATATTAATTAACATGGCCAATACAGAGCCAGTTGGAGTTACAGTGAAATGTAAACTTATTCAAACTTTGATTCATCCATATATCATAGGTGTTAGTTGAAATGAAGTCAATGTGAACATGTACAAAAAGGGAGATCACTACAGCTTAATCGTTTTCAAAATGTAACTCTTCAAAAACTTGAACTGACAAAGGTTAATTACTTTAAACTCATCTCTAGTCTTTGATATCCTTTGTGAGGGGAATCCATTTAGGCCTATTCTATTTTCAAGATGACATCTGAATCCAAATTATTCACTGGAAATCAAATTAGTTTCAACTTTTGAAATGTGTGTAATAATATGAGATTCTAACAATGGTCATTGTCTCTATCAAAAAATAAAAGTGTTACCAACAATTGCCTGGTCAATTTTGATGTAACCCTTTACTGAAAGCAGGTGAGTGCACTCTGATCTGGTCAAAACTACAAATCCATCTAAAATCGATGACATTTTGTATCTCCGTCTTCAGCCTTTTGTTGTTTACAATTGTGCTAAAAAAGCTATAAGACCAAATAGGATTATACATTTAATTAATAAGGTCTCTCTTGGATTGAGCCTTTGGACCATCATAGAACTCAAAACCGACAACCATCCATTACGATACAATAACTTCCCTAGAAATACAATAGTTAAAGATACTATTAAAATAAGATAATTCTTTTGGAATATTAATAAAAGCAGTACTGTTAGTAAGATTGTTGGCCATTCTGAGAGAAGTATAAATAAAACAGATTGCACAATCCAGATTGCAGATTGCACACATTGCAACAATCTGCACATTGCAACATTACTAACATTGTTAAGATTGTTGGTCATTCTGAGGGGAGAAGTATAAAACAGATTGCACAATCCAGATTGCAGATTGCACACATTGCAACAATCTGCACATTGCAACATTGCTAAGATTGTTAAGATTGTTGACCATTCTGAGGGGAGAAGTATAAAACAGATTGTACAATCTAGATTGCAGTTTGCACACATTGCAACAATCTGCACATTGCAACATTGCTTAGATTGTTAAGATTGTTGGCCATTCTTTAGTATAAAACAGATTGTACAATCCAGATTGCAGTTTGCACACATTGCAACAATGTGCACATTGCAACATTGCTAACATTGTTAAGATTGTTGGCCATTCTGAAAGGAGAAGTATAAAGCAGATTGCACAATCCAGATTGCAGTTTGCACACATTGCAACAATCTGCACATTGCAACATTGCTAACATTGTTAAGATTGTTGGCCATTCTGAGAGAAGTATAAAACAGATTGTACAATCCAGATTGCAGTTTGCACACATTGCAACAATATGCACATTGCAACATTGCTAACATTGTTAAGATTGTTGGTCATTCTGAGAGAAGTATAAAACAGATTGTACAATCCAGATTGCAGATTGCACACATTGCAACAATCTGCACATTGCAACATTGCTAAGATTGTTAAGATTGTTGACCATTCTGAGGGGAGAAGTATAAAACAGATTGTACAATCTAGATTGCAGTTTGCACACATTGCAACAATCTGCACATTGCAACATTGCTTAGATTGTTAAGATTGTTGGCCATTCTAGTAGTATAAAACAGATTGTACAATTCAGATTGCAGTTTGCACACATTGCAACAATGTGCACATTGCAACATTGCTAACATTGTTAAGATTGTTGGCCATTCTGAAAGGAGAAGTATAAAGCAGATTGCACAATCTAGATTGCAGTTTGCACACATTGCAACAATCTGCACATTGCAACATTGCTAACATTGTTAGATTGTTGGCCATTCTGAGAGAAGTATAAAACAGATTGTACAATCCAGATTGCAGTTTGCACACATTGCAACAATATGCACATTGCAACATTGCTAACATTGTTAAGATTGTTGGTCATTCTGAGAGAAGTATAAAACAGATTGTACAATCCAGATTGCAGATTGCACACATTGCAACAATCTGCACATTGCAACATTGCTAACATTGTTAAGATTGTTGGCCATTCTGAGAGAAGTATAAAACAGATTGTACAATCCAGATTGCAGATTGCACACATTGCAACAATCTGCACATTGCAACATTGCTAACATTGTTAAGATTGTTGGCCATTCTGAAAGGAGAAGTATAAAACAGATTGCACAATCCAGATTGCAGTTTGCGCACATTGCAACAATCTGCACATTGCAACATTGCTAACATTGTTAAGATTGTTGGTCATTCTGAGAGAAGTATAAAACAGATTGTACAATCCAGATTGCAGATTGCGCACATTGCAACAATCTGCACATTGCAACATTGCTAACATTGTTAAGATTGTTGGCCATTCTGAGAGAAGTATAAAACAGATTGTACAATCCAGATTGCATATTGCACACATTGCAACAATCTGCACATTGTAACATTCAACATTGAGAGAGAAGTATAGAACAGATTGCAATTCAGATTGCAGATTGTCAACAATCTTACAGAAAAAATGCAATGTGTAAGTGATTTAACATAGGAGTCAATGGAGAAGCAGATTGTTTTCAGTTTGCTAGAGGTACCCTATTGGCCATAGCTATAAACATGACTATAAAAACTCAATACTTGTGATAATGAAACGACATGAGTGTATTTTTTCTTATTCATTCAACTGGTTGTTACATACTTGTAGCTCTATATTTCTGACATGTAATTCTGCCTTCTGTAAGACAGCCATTTTCACACATGATTGATGACATACATTGTACAATTTCTCAGCTTTTTACCAACATATTTGTTTACATGTGTTTTTAATTCTTGGAAAATAATTCTGCTTGATATTAGCGGGGGCCACCATTGGAAAAAATTCCTATATGAATTTAGGATTTATAAATCACTTGTCGTGACTATGGATACCACAATATCCCTGATTGAGTACACCTTTTCTCCAACCTACTTGACTCTTTTACTCAATTTTCAATGTACTCACACAATGTTTTACACACCACAGAACCTGCCCTTTGAATGAAATATAAGTAGCATATCATTTCATCTCGTATGCATGTGTACAAAATTGATTAACATGTCTAAAGGGTTCTTTGAAAGAAAACTTATTAGTATACTGTGCATGTTAATACATTTAATCTTGGATGAAGATACTTTAGAATAAGAACGTTAATCCCACATTATTAGCTTACTCAGTTACTTTCCCAGCTACCTACTCAGTTACTTACTCAGCTACCTACTCGGTTACTTACTCAGCTACCTATTCATTATTTTTGATAGCAGCCAAGACACATTTCCCAGATTATCCAAAGTGCAGATATACATACAATGGATATCAGTTGTATTATTTATTTTAATGGTTCATACATTGAGCCTTCATGTACATTCATGTACTACTATTATTTAATTGTGTATTAATTTATCTGTTTATAATAAGCTTTAGCTTATGCTCACCTTATTTGAAATGTAAATATTTTTTGATTTTAATTTTATAAAATAACTTAAATGCCCTGACTGTACATATAATGCTAGCTCTATTTATTTAGTTGACGCATTCATGTAATATTATTATTATAAACAATGAAACAAATATAAAACATAAAGTTGATATTATCAGGATTTGTTTACTATAAATATATGTAAATATATATAGGGTGACCCCCCAAAACACAACTCACAAATCTGAATAAAAGGTTATGGCTCTGCTTTTTTGGTTCACCTTGTATATGGTAAATAAAATAATAGCATATAAAATGGGAGATCAAATAGTATAAGTATAAATATTCTAGCAATAAGGATTAGTCTGTAACTGTGACACCTTTTAAATTTATGTCACCTCAAGTGGTGACAAATTGTTATAGTCTCCAACTTTTTTGTGGATGCTGGTTGAACTGGCAGGTGGTGACACTTAGCATGATAATGCCTTTATTCTGCTATGGGCATCCCTTAAAATATACCAGAATCTTTGAAGATAGTTTCTCTCGTCATACTCACAGAGTGGGATCCACATCTTTTGTCCACTATGGGGATCATGCTATTTTCCACAAAAATACAATGAGAAAAAAATTGTCACACCTTTGAGAGATTGTCTATTATTGGGATTAGGTGAAATTCAGATTTTCTTAAATATTAAGTTTTCTCTTCTTTTAGAGAAAAGTATGAACTTAGTAATCAAAGTTTCTATTTCAAGAGATAAATATGGACTCGTAACCACATTTTCACTTCAAGAGGCAATTATGGATTAGTAACCTAAGTTTCTACTTCAAGAAACAACAACTACTAGTAATCAAATTTTCACTTCAAGAGACAAATATAGACTAGTAATCAAATTTTTATTCAAGAGACAAATATGGACTAGTAACCAAATTTTCTGGACTAGTAACCTCAGTTTCTACTTTAAGAAACAGATATGGACTAGTAATCAAATTTTCACTTCAAGTAACAAATATGGACTAGTAATCAAATTTTCACTTCAAGAAACATATATGAACTAGTAACCAAATTTTCTGGACTAGTAACCTCAGTTTCTACTTTAAGAAACAGATATGGACTAGTAATCAAATTTTCACTTCAAGAAACAAATATGGACTTGTAATCAAATTTTCACTTCAAGAAACAAATATGGACTAGTAACCAAGTTTTCACTTCAACAGACAATATGGGTCATTTGTTGAGTTACATTAACTCAACATAATAAAAAATAATGAAAACAAATATTTTAATATACCATTTCTCTTTTATTACAATATAAAGCAAGCAATGAATCAATCGAAACAATAGTCTAAAATATTCTACAATTATTTTCACTATTTCATTTAAACATTTTTTGCCATCATAATACTAGATGATTTAAATATATCAATAGAATATATATCACTGGATGCTTTCTCAATGTACAACATATTTACTATACAATAATGTATACAAAGTACATTATTTGAATTCTGGTTTAATCTGCCCAAAACTGGATCAAACTGGTCCAAACCAGATCAAATCCATCAACAAAGTCCTGCACTTACCATCTTGAGACACTTCCCAATATAATAAGCATACACATAGACAGTTTATTCTTATTTTCAAAAGTTTGATGAAGGACTAAAATTATTGTTTAATTGACACTGATTCTACTTTCATTCACTGTTAAATGTTTTAAGATTTTAAACTCGAAAAGCAAGATGGAGAAAACACAAAGTGTTTTACAGTAGTTTTACCTTATGTTATAGAGTCCCATGTCAAATAATGCCAACTGATCCCTCAACTCAAATACATTATCAGATGTGGGTTTTATATTGCAATGTCTTAAGCAGAAATAGCATTTGATCATGATATGTTGTAACAGTATGTAGCGCTCAGCAGAACACAATCATTGCTTATGAATGTTACATATCTCAGTTTACTAATTGATATTAGGTAAATGAAATACAAATGCACTTTTACGATCTTGGCAAAGAATGAAGAGTTGTTATATTTTCACTTGTTGATCAGAGAGCGCTGAAAATTTACAATGATCCTTTTAAAGTTTTTCTGCACAACAAAAAAGTTGAAAACAAAAAACGCACTTTTCCGCACTTGGATAAAAAAGTTGAAAACAAAAATGCACTTTTCCGCACTTGGACAAAAAAGTTGAAAACAAAAAATGAACAATGAACAATCTCTATGAACAATGATCTATATTGTGTATTTATCAATGTCAAAATGTGAAAAAATTGTAATAATGAGAATTATCTCATCCTGAAAATAAGCATTGTATCGGAGATGTAACACTAGTTCCAACTCAGAATACATACTTTCCACTGATTGTATCAACCCTTTGGTATATGGTAATGATCCATTTAAGTAATAAGATATATTTGAATTTATTTCTTTGCATAGTTTTCCAACTCCATAGCCTTGAAAACCTAACGGCTCTTGTAATATAGTAAAGATTTTATAAAATAGAATTTACTTAGCGTTTGTAATATTATACACTGTATTGGAATGTTTACCATCATAACTTAATAACTACATTTCATTAGATTTAAGTAAAGAAAGTGGGTGATCTAAAAAAAGAAAGTGGTCACTTTCCCCCTTGTTTTACATATCACATAATTTGCGTCATTATTTTCTGGAATGAAGGTTAAATTTCACTGGATATTGAATATACTGAAACCAAAAGGAGATCACATTATACTCCTCTAACATTACTCTAAGCGACTGGCTTTCATATACATGTGCCAAATTGCATTTAAGGAACACAAGTTCAAAAACTAAGAAAGATAACTGAGAAATATTGTCATTAGCTACTCGAGCTATTCTCTAGTTTCTTCCACTGACTATAGCTACGAGCCTTGTAAGATAATCGCCATTTTCATTTTCATTAACTTTGCTTTCTCGAGTAGTCATTTAAGTTCTTCAACAAATAACACTATAAATATCTTGGATATCGATTCAACACCAACAATATAACATAACACCACTAGAAATGAGACAATAAAATACAAAAGTTACCCAGAGGTTATATGGTGTCCACTGTCAGGGAATGTTTTGTACTTGATTGGCTCAGACTAATTAGCCATACAATCTGATCTTACAATATAAATAACAATTTCATGGTTTGTCTACAATAAATATATATTAGATAATAAAAATTCATTAGACGAGATCTAAATTGCAATTCTTAAATATGTAGATATCATCACTTTTACATTGAACATTAAAACATTAATGAATTGATATTTTTTCTTTAAAATGCCAGACAATTTGATTTAGATTTTAAAAAGCAAAAATATGTTACACTTGAACACTTATGGAATGCTTAACATGAATGATATGTCGTCGTTATATGGTCCCTAGCTTTAGGATACATGACAATAGACTGTTCTAGTTCACTTCACTTTCTACAATATAAAATACCAAATCATAAAAATCATTTTTTTGGATTGAATCTTGGACAATGTTAACAGACCAGATCCTTTTCAAATGACCATTCGTTTATCTAAAATTCTTTTTCATAAATACACCAAAATATTGTTTTCCGATGTCACAATCCTCCAGATACTTCTGCGTTTCAAATTGAATTTAATATTTATGTCCCTATTAGGAACTATTCTCACTGTAGTCCGAGAGATTTTCGAAGATATTTTGACGACACTCTCTGCTTGACTTTCTGGAGCAACCCAGCTCCGCTGTTTTTTTGCCACTCGGCTTCAAACTCATTGGCTAAAATTTCAGCACCTCGTTTTCTCGTTAGTCCAGTCTCCTCTAGGCTTAATTCGCACATTTTCATATCATCAACACCTGCAAAACATAGATTTAAAGAATCTAAGTACATATATGTAGAAAGAAAAAACACAAAGATTATGGGCAACACATTATGTATCACTAAGTAGTTTTTGCTGCAGAGGAGGTTCAGTTATTTTTGACACCTTGTAGATTTTTTTTGTGACACCCTGTAGATTCTTCATTGGCTTCTACTGTCAATAATGATATCCTTACTCACATTTAAGTATTTTTACAATTTGTTCTTGGAATGAGCTTTACCTGCAGACACTGCATAATACTATACATGTTATGGATCAGTCTCACGACCCAAAAACTAATCAATTTATCAATTGTGTAGCTAGCAATTGTCAAGGAGCGATTTTTTGGGTTTGAATCATTGCAACCGAAGCAATCTAATTTTTTTAATTTAAATTGTATAGGACTCTACTAAGCATTTGAAACTATAATCTTTTGTTTTTGTGGTGGTGGCCGGTGGGGGATTCAATTGCATCCATCGCAACTCCCTGGCTACGCCCATGAATACTGAACTTATCATTTATAGGGATAATTATATGAAAAGTAAGCTAATCAGCCATGTAATACTAACTACAGCCATTAGAATTCCAAACTACATGGAGTGATTAATGTGCTCTTTGATTATATCAAATATCAAACCAATACAGTCCTTTATTAAACCTTTTGATTTAATATTCAATTCTGGGATGATTTAATTTTAAACTTTTTCCAGTATACAGTATGGTAAAATCAAGCTTGTCATACATTTGCATGTACATGTATATCACTGTTAAAATAAATACACTGTGGGAGCACTATAGGAAACATGTGTAAGTCACTTTGTCAATTGATCCCTAAAGAACATGATAGCCCCCTCATCTATTTCATATACCTCTTAATACTAATTAGTATACAAACGAGATTTTAATACCATGGTAAAATGAAGTTTTAATGATATCTCAGATTCCCGCTATACGAGAATGATAAATTACATGTATCAAATATATACCTTCCCACCTTCCTTTAAGTATGATTGTTGATGTGATTTTTACAAACCTAATATGGCCACGCAGCGAAATAAACGTAAATCATCACAAAAGTACATTCGGAATATGTTTCTCAAATTACACCAAAATAGAACACAATCAATATAAATTCATATGCATTTAAACTGAAAATGATCCAAAAATTAGGAAAACTTCTGTGAATGGTTTGGAAGAGCTCATGACTAAAATATCTGCTATTACCATAAGGTTGAGTAAAACAACACAGGAAGCTGGTTTTTATTACCAGATGTATTACCATTTCACGTCTAAATTACCTCTGGTTGTTCCACTCGATAGCTGACAAAATTTTGAATTAAGGATCCAAATTTCTGGCATTTCTAACTACAGAGTGTTCACTACATGTCTGAATGCTTTATTTCTTTCAAATTACACTCTTCTACTCTGTAGTGAATTCCATTATGTACCATCGTGACATTCCCCAATTTGATATGATGATATCGATGGCATTATTATAGAGATACTGATGAGCTCATGAATCAGGCTTTCCAGGTATTGATCCACTTCCATTTATTTTCATAATTGAGAAAGGCATCAATTTTATCTAAAGGGAATATCAGATTGTTGTACCCAAATCCTTTCAATTTAAAGAGTGTATTCAGCTCATATATTACAGAGTGACACAAAAATGCTACCCGTATAATGTATAACTGTTCTTTAGCGCATTAGAGCTAGGCTCCATGGAGCAACTCCACAAGAAGTTTCAGATCAGACTAGCTCAACTAGATGCACCTTTATGAGTGTTACAAGATGTGATCTGAAGGTTGTCCATTTCTTTGCAGGCACATCTGGATTCTACATAAAAATGCTGCCTACCTTTTGTAATATTACTTTGTAAATACTAATGATTTTTGCTTGTACTTTCAAGGAAAGGAAATACATTCAATTAATCACAAAATTATGTAGTTGTCATTCATAAAATCATTATATCTTATTTACAATATTATATTTCAAAAGGAGGGTGACATTTTTGTGTGCAATCTTGGTGTGCCCACAAAAGAACAGACATATCTTGTAATGCTCATAAAGGTGCATCTAGTCATCTGAGTCGCTCCATTGAGTCTAGTTTTAATGTGCATACAAAGCATGCAAGTCAAAATTTATGCAGACAAAAAGATATACAACATTGTGTTGGTGGGTGGCATTCTTTTGTGTCACACTGTATTTCCTGCGACATTAAAAGCAGCAGATGTATAGATAGATACTAGTAAACAGATAGAGGGATGGATGGATGGATGGATGGATGGATAGACAATCAAATGGATGGACAAATGGAGGGATGGATGGATGGACAAACAAACGAGTGGGCAATTGCATTGGCTCACCATGTGAAACAAAATTATACCAGTGGTATCTCACACATATATGTACTTAATCTATACAATAATAAACAAAATCCCAATTTGCACCAGGTATGAAGCCAGGTGACATCTTTTGAGTGGTGGATACACAATTATCCATACTTATTCACAATTGTTCATACTTGATTACACTAGAAAAGAAGTAAATGGGAAATGTGGGATTGATAGAAACAGACAAACACTTTAATAATCTGATAGTGTATGAAATTAGCATGCAACGTGGAAGACATGATTCCATTCTGCTGAATATAAACTAGTGATGTACATCTATATACATACTAAAGTGTCTCAACCACAAAATCTCAAGGAGTTGAACAAGTAACACTGAATTCCTTTTCAGCTTTATTTTGCTTTTAAGTACGAGGGGTGATCAATAAGTAATGGACGCTTATATAAAAAATATATATATAATAAAAAGCATCTATGTAAAAAAGCGTCCATTACTTATTGATCATCCCTCGTGCAAAACGTTTTCTTTTTTACCTGCAACCAAAAGAACTGCATCTTTTTCTGGATGGAGCTCCATCTGGCGAGCTATCCACTTGCCATCAAAATGTGCATACCACCATCCTTTCTTTTTGAACTCGCTGTCCCTGTGCTCGTCGGAGGGACGCACAAACGGAATTCTGAAGTAGCGCTGGGTGGCTTGGTCAGCTGCGCCATTCATTTGGCGAGCAGGCACAGGAGGTGCCGCTAGTCCAGGGATCAGGGAACCTTGCTCATTCATAAGTGACTGGAATCAAAATAAGATCATATTTAGATCTTGTAACTATTGAAAAGATTATACATGTATGTACATGTAACTAAACATGTAGCTTGTAAGACCAAATTGTTCCCCTACATTTATTTAACACATGTACCGGTATATCATGATGCTGAATTAATCGATGGGAGATGAGTTAACCAATCAGATATTTCTGTTGAAATATGAAATTTTACAATTATTTGTCCCTATTGCTGATTAAGCAAGAGATAGTGAACAGAGATATTATTCTCTAAGGAGATGGTGGAGAAAGACTTATACTACCTTGAGCATGGTACACACAGGCAGTTGATCTCTTGACAAATAGATTTATTTTGTCACTAAACGTTTACCTGAGGAGCTCTCTGGTCATCCCCAGCCTGGGTAGCAGGGGGCGCTGCTGCAGCTGAACTAGCTGCTGCATTCTGCTGGACGGTTCGTTTCTTGTTTTTTGTTTTCCATGCATGGTAGACCTTGAGACGTCGATGGAACTCGATACGACAGGCTTCTAGAAGTTCAACATCTGCAGAGGCGAGATATATGGGATAAATCATGAGAATAATTATACACTTTTTACATGGACAATATTTTGTTTGAACCATACACTTATTGTTTTGAGACAAGAAATCTTCCTTTTAGGAGTTATTTGGTTGAATCCATGATCAACATTAAATGGCAAACAACCACTTCACACTTAATTTTTACTCTTCATCTAACTGTATTATTAGTTTCTACATACCACACGATGTGTTAATTGTGTCCCTTAACTCAGCATACTTCCACTTGGACAGATCTTGTTTTGCACCACCCTGTTGTTTCTGCGCCATAACATTTGCAGACCTTCAAACAAAAGACAACTATCAATCTCAGAGTTCAACTGCAACAAAAGACACCTATCAGTCCCAGAATTCAATACAATTTCAATAATTTCTAGAAATAAATGTATGGAAAATCTGTCGTCACATCTCCTGAAAACAAAAATACATTATAGATGTCAATTAATTCCCATAATCCTTTGTATGTGGCAGACGATTTGAGAAGATATTGCTGAGGTTATTCACAAGCCTTACATATTTTTTATTATATTATTTAAACTTGAATAGCTTTAGCATTTTGTAGCAAATATGTAATATTGTTTAGCTGACAGCGCAAGGCATTGTATTATTATCTAAAGTATGTAATACTTCTATTAAATAGATATATATGTATTATTTATAGGTATACTTTAAACTACATGTCAATTTCAAAATTGCCAGTTCAAATAAAGAAATGTAAAATTTTTCTTTTAATGAATAAAAAAATTAAACTTTAGGTAAAGGGTGGTAAGGCAAATAACTATGGGTTTAACTAAAAAAGCTTCAATCTTATATAATTGAGAAACAAAATCAATCAATAAATTTTGATTTCCCACAATCCTTTGCATTTACTAAGCAGACGGCTGGGATAAGCAATATTGTAAACTGGTATGGAAAAGCATGATCAGACTAACATTTTGAATCTGAACATAGATGTTTACATAATCAAGTTCCTGATGCATTATAGTTGTGGATTTTGTGCATAAAAGAAGGTGTATAAATATAATATTCTTTACACCTTTCCTATGTTACAATTCATTTCAACAATTAATGATATGAAATATTTTTGTATAATGATCAAAATGATTGCGAGTTATACTGCGTGTAATAGAGAGAGAGAGAAGCAGCGATTTTGAGGAATTTAAAAACTTTTAACAACACCCTACAGGTAACTAACAGCAATAGCAATTTTTTTCACAAACAAAGGTACAAATAGCATCAATTTTACAACGATATCCATCAATCATTATGGGTGCCTCTTATCTGGAATAAAATGGGTTGAGGGAAGGGGTGAAGCTTCTTATACTAGTTTGCCTTTGGATAATAGATGGTGCTGCTCCTTATTTATTGAAGTCCTGCCTTTGGGCAATAGATGGTGCTTCAGTGCTGCAATAGGTCCAAGTGCGCTAGAAAATGGATGAGGGAGGGGTTGGGTCAATAAAAACATACATCGATGGATTCTTTTCCAAGAATGTTGATAATGAAGCTATATCTTTGGCTTGGCCAGCGATAGCTGCAAAGTTCTGCATAGATGATGAGGTTTTCATTGGTTGATCATGCTGCGCCCCCTTCTCAGGTAGGAACTCATCAAAGAACCCTGGGACGGTTTGCACTTGACGACCTGGTATTCCATAATCAGGTTTGAAGCGATTCCTATTGACATTTAAGACATAAAATGTGAACAAATCATGTATACAGTTCAATCATCTGTGAAGTATATAAGAATAAAAGATTATGTTTAAATATTTTCACCTTACCAAATTGAGATAATGAACTTGTAATTATATTTTTGATCTTTATATAACCCATTATGATTTACAATAAAGTATACTCAGAAAGTTTTGATTTGTACTAAAATTCAAAATAACTAATTTTTAGCAAAGTATTTAGTTGTATGCTTTTATTCACATAGATTTGAGGGAAACCTTACAAATAAATGCAAAAGTGATCATTTCATTCAGAAAAAATATCTAAATAAAAAATCATAAAAATGAGTTTCAACAGGCATTAAAAATTCCTTAAATATTTAGTGCCATTGGATCATTGAAACAAAGCATTGGCATGAAAAAAATGTAAAGATATTGCGAATGGTTACAAAAATGTAACAGTTTGTCACAGATGATGAAATCAATGATGACTGCCAAATCGCTGATTGGTGATGCTGAACTCTGAATCCCTAGCAGTCACAAAAATGGTGGCATAACAATATGTCACCACTTCATCAGTGGTGGATAAAAAAATTCAAAAGAAAGACTACTATATAATATTGAGGGGTATGAATATAAAACTAAAAACTAATGCCTCAGTCACATTTGATCTGTGGCAAGAGTATGGCGGCCATAACTTCCCAAAATCGAGAGAAATGTGCATGAAAAATAGGGATTAGCAGTACGATGTAGATTTTCAATATCGATTTTGTGAAGCTATGCATAGAGCAAATATGAATGAGGCTCTAGTAATCTTATCATGTACAACATCAAAAATTGTTCTTGCTAAATAAATAAATGATAAAATATAAATATTATAAAAAAATTAACTAATTTAAATAACATAATAATAAATCTTATTTAAAATGCTGAAATAAATATTATCATAACTGTGAACACTGTGAACAAGCCCTCCAAAATGGTATGACTGAATAACAGATACCATGGATGCTCCAAGAAAGTTTCAAACCAAACAAAACTCACTTTTGCATGAGTATTTATAACACTGTAACATGTGAAACCAAAGTGGCTTCGGGAAATTTTACAAAATGCAAAAAATATGTAAAAAAGTTCATTTGAATTTTGATGAAAAAAGATCAAAACTAAGATCTACTTGAAAAAAACACAAACAGAATTTATAAAATTTATAAAATCAGCAATCAAGGAGTGCTCAACATTAATATTACTTTACAAAACAAAACTGCTCATCAGAAATATTACTTTTTAATCTTAAAATAAAACAAAAAACAAAAACAAAACTGCTCATCAGAAATATTACTTTTTAATCTTAACATACAAAAAACAAACAAACCATGGGTTTCAATAAATATGAAAGGCACAGACTTTTCAATCAGTTAAATAGACTATAGTCCCCGATCTGATTTCCAAAAGGGCTCTAGAAAAGGGGTTTTGTTGTCCGGTACTTTCCCACATAAAATGATTGTGCCGTTTGAAAGAACAGACTTCCCTCTTAAAGAAAACACCTCTTCTATTGATGCAAACAGGGGCAAAAGGCACCAAAACGGGGTTAGACAAGGTGGCATTCTGAAGTGTCACTTTCTTGTCATCACGATTCCAGGTAAACCATTAGACGGATTTACTTCAAATTTTCACACATGTTACATGGTAAGAAGTTCTAGAGCTGATTAACTTTGCGGCGGCCATCTTGCATTCTGGCAGCCATCTTGGAATTTTTTTCAGATAAATATTGTCGTCGCGATTCCACAAAAACCACATAACAGATGTACTTCAAATGTTCACACATGTAACATGGTAAAAAGTTCTAGACCTCATTATTTTTTCGGTGGCCATCTTGCATTCTGGCAGCCATCTTGGAAGTTTAATGATAAATCTTGTCATCACGATTTCAGGAAAACCAAACGGATTTACTTCAAATTTTCACACATATTACATGGTAAGATTTTTTAAAAAATGCCAAACTTTGTGACAAAGAATTTCATCAGCTATTGCCCCGAACCGGTCCGTCTTCTCGCTGCAAGCAGATTGCCCCGAACCGGTCCGTCTTCTCGCTGCAAGCAGGATGAAATTCTTTGTCACAAAGTTTGGCATTTTTTATAAAATCAAACGTGCGTCATTGAAACTCACAAAATGTAAATAGCATGTCATTTACATCATACCTTGATGGGGAAAAATAGATCTTATATGTTAGAAGTACTAAATAAAAGTTATCGTGAAAATGAGACAGTCGTTCTCGAGAGAAAAGAGCATAAATGCGCATTTAGAGAGTTTTGGTCCGTTTAAAAATCTGTAAAAAATTGGGGTACTTAAAAGCATCGGGAGGCATCATATATTTCAAATTAGACACGAGGAAGTCAATATTGAGCAAGTTATGGCTATTTTAAATTCAAATAAAACCGTTAACCCGTACCGGTCCAGCTTTTGACCCGTACCGGTCAATTTTCGTTAGCTGCGTATACCAAGGGTGATACTGAAGTCATTAAAATACATGTTGAAGAAAAATTGAAAATAATGATATCCAATACTCATAAGATCAAAAATAGTTGTAGATACTATAGTACTCATAAAAGCTGCAGATAACGTTTCTTCATTGGGAAAGCAAGCTGTCTCTTAGTCAGATATTAACTAACGAGCTGGTTCAGAGCACCAGCATGTCAAACTATGTGAATGGGCTCTGTATCCACAATGTTGCGAGTTCGAGACACATGTGCTCTTTGCGTTTAATAATCAACAAAAATCACTTAAACCTGCACTAAAACTGTGTGTCAGATCGATATAAGTATAGGGTTTGGAAACTAATTGTACCAACAAAAAGAACTTAAAAAACACTGCTACAATATCAACATAAGCTTTCAATAGTAGTGACGATGCAGAAACATGCAAAATGTCACCACACCTTGTTAAGTATACAGTACACATTAACTACTAAACAGTGTCAAGATAAACGTTCGAAGCTATTAAAATATGTCACCCAATCACTAGTGGTGGTGACATAAAAATAATGTATAGAAAAATCTACTGAACCAAAATAAACTTTGTGATAGAAGAACTGATTGTTTACTCTAAGTTTTCAACTAAATATTTTTCTAATAAGCAATGTTTTATCGAAAAGAAAAAATAATTTCATGTTATATAAAATCAAATTAAGTTAATTATATTTTTTTTCGTTGTGTTAGTTACACCAGTAATAATAAACCTGTTTATAAAGTGGTGTTAACTAGACTAGAATTTAACAGTCATAAAACCTAAAAATATATACCAGTCAGGGACAATTGTGAATGTAAATGTATAAAGTGTGAAAATTTGAAGCAAATCTGTAAAGTGGTTTTTCTGGAATCGTGATGACAAGATTTATCTACAAACTTCCAAGATGGCCACCAGAATGCAAGATGGCTATCGGAAAGTTAATCAGCTCCATAACTTCTTACCATGTAACATGTGTGAAAATTTGAAGTAAAACTGTTACGTGGTTTTCATGGAATTGGGATGACAAGATTTATCTAAAAACTTCCAAGATGGCCGATGGAATGCAACATGGCCACCGAAAAGTTAGTCAGCTCTAGAACTTCATACCATGTAACATGTGTGAAAATTCGAGGTAAAACTGTGAAGTGGTTTTTCTGGAATCGTGATTACAAGATTTATCTATAAACCTTCCAAAATGGCTGTCAGAATGCAAGATGGCCACTGAAAAGTTAATCAGCTCTAGAACTTCATACCATGTAACATGTGTGAAAATTTGAAGTTAATCTGTTAGGTTGTTTTCCTGGAATCACGATGACAAGATTTATCCCCAAATATCCAAGATGGCCGCCAGAATGCAAGATGGCTGCCGAAAAGTTACTCACCTCTATATTTTCTTACCATGTAACATGTGTGGAAATTTGAAGTAAATCCGTTTGGATTTCCTGAAACCGTGATGACAAGATTTATCTTAAAACTTCCAAGATGGCTGCCAGAATGCAAGATGGCCACCAAAAAATAATGAGGTCTAGGACTTTTAACCATGTAACATGTGTGAACATTTGAAGTACATCTGTTATGTGGTTTTTGTGGAATCGCGATGACAATATTTATCTGAAAAAAATTCCAAGATGGCCGCCAGAATGCAAGATGGCCGCCACAAAGTTAATCAGCTCTAGAACTTCTTACCATGTAACATGTGAGAAAATTTGAAGTAAATCCTTCTGATGGTTTACCTGGAATCGTGATGACAAGAAAGTGAGACTTCAGAATGCCACCTTGTCTAACCCCGTTTTGGTGCCTTTTGCCCCTGTTTACATCAATAGAAGAGGTGTTTTCTTTAAGAGGGAAGTCTGTTCTTTCAAACGGTACAATCATTTTATGTGGGAAAGTACCGGACAACAAAACTTTTTTTCAGAGGGTCCAGATCAGGGACTACTAGAATAGATAGGATAGTTGATACCAAGAGTAAAAGATTTTACCATATTTTTGCCCTTATCATTCTTGTCATGTCTATTTTGTAATAAAAAGTTTCTTCATCTTAAATCTTCAATAATATATCTGATAAGATATGCCATTCTTTATTCCCCCAAAAATTAGGTTTGTAAAGAAAATGCTTGCATTGCTTTTGGAAAGATTACTTTTAACATTTTGACTCTCAATTGCTTCTAATTCTTTTAAAGCATTAATAAAGAAAATATGAGTGAAAAGTCTGCACCATTCATTATAGAGGAGGGATATTCCAGAAAGGGGGAACTAATGTTTCTCGCCCATTGAAACATCCCACCACTTGCCATATATGCAGATAGTGAAAAAATATTATTTGTGAAAAATATTAATACATTAAGAGTGAGAGGAATAGAAGTTTTAATTTCTATTCCCATTATGTAATGCAGAAGTGGTAATTAAGTGAATTGCCCGAAATCTTAAATTCCTAAATACTGCGCATCCAATGAATATTTCAAATTATCAGCTTTTACAAAAATGTCAACTTATTATTGACTCAATTACCACTTGTACAGTATTTAAGTAAATCTGCTGGCAACAATGTTTTCATCAAATCAAAGACAAATCTTTGCTGAAACATGCTCAAGCTAGAATTCTGCATGTTATATTCAAGAGCAAATATAACTTTTCTCCACCAAAAGTATTATTGAATAAGAGGCAAATTTTAAAGCAGACTTAATTTAAAATATAAAGACTATTCCAGCAGGTTTATATGCAAAATAAAACAATTTAGCACAACTAAGTATTTAGTAGGGTGGGGTTAATATACACTCAAGTACCTCGTAGAATCACCTGCTGCAACTACCCTATAAAAGATGAGCACATGATTACCCATAATGCAATTCAAGAAGCAGACGGATATCCTGAACTAAAATACTAAACATCAACTCGATCAATCCAGAATAAAAAGAGAATCGAGAAAAGCATCTACATTAGTAGCTTTCAGGCATTATTCATAATCAAAGCAGTATAATATCAAAATAAAAATAAGTCAAACATGAGTCCGTATCATGCTTACCTTTGTATTGGTTCTGCCTCTTCATCCACTTGGTTTTGGTCCTCCATGGCTAGACGCAAAGCAAGTTCACGATCGCGACGTTCTTGCTCCAGTTGTTTGTTTTCTGCAGCCTCCTCAGCAGCAAGTTTAGCTGCTAGCGCCTCCTATATAAAAAATAAACAAAACAATAACTGAATCGCGCAATCATCGTCACAAGATAAACAAGCTGAATGAGTAAATTGCATAATTCAATGTTTAAATTCAGAAATTAGAGTAAATAGTGTGACATCAACATTATTTCGCTTAATTATGGGATATAATTTTTCAAATCTTACGGCAGCCTTCCTGTCAGCTTCTTCCTGTTTCCGCCTCTTCTCTTCTTGGATTTTCCTTTCCTCTTCCTCTTTTTTCCTACGGGCCTCCATCTCAGCTTTACTGGAAAACATGGCCAGATTTATTTTTGAGCTTTCATTTACAAACCTTTTTAAGACAGTATGAAATTGTTCTATTTCCAAACATTGAAAATAGAACAATTTCTTTTTTCAGGTGTTAAAAACAAAAATGAGACAAACAATGATATTCTTCCAAAAATGTTCATTTAAATATCAACTTACATTCTCTTTGTTTCCTCTTCTTCCTTCCTCTTGCGTTCCTCCTCCAGTTTACGTAACCGCTCTTTCTCCATTTCCTCTTGGATTTTACGAAGACGTTCCTGCTCTTCTCTCGCCTTTTGAGTCTCAAGTTTCTTTTTGAAACTTCCCACTGTGTTGTTAATGGTGACCATCAGTGCGTTGTGTTCCTTGTCTATATCTTGCCTCGTCATTGGGTTGTTCTAAAAGAATATAATCCAGCGCAACATTAACATTGTTGACAAGGGCACTGATCCTCACAAAAAATTGATCAATATAAACTCAGGATTCAACCTCAATAACTCAGATGCAAGTAGGTAGTAAATATTTAATATCTTAAATCAAAATTTCTTCTACTCGCATCTCAGTGGCGGATCTGGGATCTTTTTGGGCATAATTTGGCCTTCTTAAGCCTTTTTTGGGCCAATTTATCAAATATGGGCCTTAATTTTTCAAAATTTGGATATAGGGGCCCAAATGTTTTTCCAAACTCAAAAGGGCCCCCTTTTTAATTTCTGGATCCGCCACTGCATCTTGTCTATTGTGTACAAATTAGAACCGTTCCAAGTCACCATTATTACAGTGTGAATATCCTCCTAACGTCAAACCATGTCATACTGTGCATACAATATTGCCCTTCCCGTCAAAAAGACTAATGTCACCAACTCACCTGAATTTTCTTCATGACGACAATGATGCTTTCTTGTATACCCTTAAGTTCCTTCTCAGCCTGTGCCTTGTCCTTCTTCAGTTGTTTAGCCATGCTTTCCATAGATGTGATTTGGCCTTGGAGCTCTCTGATTCTCTTCATGCCCTTAATGCGTGGCTGGTAGTGCTTGATGGCAAGGTGCATCCTTATCATCTTCTGTATGAGCACCTGCTTCTCCCGTCTGTACAGGATCTTGTTCTTCACTGCAATATAGTGTTGGGAGTATAAGCTCATGGGTTTCACATGCAAATGAGAGAAAAAGTGAGGGTTTTGCTGGATGTTTCAACAAAAATTTCTCTTGTATTTAATTTACAGTAGTGGTGCAGATTTGACTGAAATAATTGATGTCAGGAATGAATGTCATGAAATCATGAATTGACTTCAAATGTTAACCCAGAAAAATATAATAACATGATTATATGTCTCTAATAAATTCATTACTATTAAATTGAAAGTATTTTATTATACAGAGACATACAAATATATCTATTAAGGGGAGGCATCAAAAGTTCGATGTCGGATCGGAAACTAAATAAATCTAGTTTTGACTCAGACTCCCCCCTCCCCCCTAAAACTAAATACCATGAAAGTTGATCGCTTACTTCCGGTTTGAGAATTTGAAAAATTATTGCTAAACACGATCTAGTTATTGTTAATTCCTATTGTAATTTGCTTTATTTAGTTTTCTCTCCGACATCGAACTTTTGATGCCTCCCCTAACTTACATTTGATAACAGACAATGCTCCCCATTGTGCTTTCTTCCATCTTGAGCAGATCAGCCATCTTTTCACCTTTTTGATTAACAATGCAAGGTTCTCTGGATCTGATTTCATGATCTGGTCAAATTCAGCGAACTTCCCAGGACGGAAAAACACTTTAGTGAGACCGAACTTGAAGTCATTCTCATTAAGGCCAAGAGCTTTGAACAAAGCCTGAAGAGTAGGGATGGAAAATCATTATTAGAAACAATATAATTTGGTAAAGCAACTACATGTACAATGTTTTTGTCAATGATATGTACTGCTTGTACCTCGGCATAGGACTTGATCCTATGTTTCAGATTGACCAATGAATAGACTTCCGAAAATATAAAACATGCACTTCAGAAAATTGGCATGAGAACTTTCAGACGTATTTATATTTTTGAAATATTTTCTACACATCATACAATTTAGCAGGTACCTAGCAAAATGGCTTAATATTAATCTTTCAAAATATGTTTTACATGTCACTTTGCAAAACAGCCATGGGTCATTTTAGGTTTTTTATTTACATTCTAAATATTTTCTACATGTCACACAATTTAGCTGATACATGTAGTTTACCTTGCAAAACAGCCGTGGGTCCAGCCTCTTGATCTCATTGGGCATGTAAGACTTGTACATGTTGTAAAGGTCAGAGAACTGGGTTCTTGATGGGAAACCTTGTTGCATCAAGTCCAGTACAGATGTCATTCCTATAGAGATAAATAGCACCATTTACATGTCATAATCTCAGCAAGGTTTGGTAATAGGCCATTATACAAATAGATTTATTGTATTTTAAAATAGACAAGGGCATCAACTTTGACAAACCATTCAGAGATTTCAGTTTTGGAATTTCCAAACATGACTGCACTCCCATGATATTTTCAAAGTAATAATTATGAATTTGTGTATTTTCATCAAGTTATACAGCCAGTTAAACAAAGTAAGACATACTTAGGTAGAATTCCAGGGATATGACTAGACCTACTTAACAGTGTGTACACTCCAGTACCTAAACCACCTAAAGCCTATACGCAGCATAGCAGACTTGACTTACCAGAACACTGTAACTGAGTGAGGATGTTTGCACCTTCAAACAGATGATCCACCATCTTCATGTTGGGTTTAATACACCTGATGAAACTTGTACCCTAGAAATAAGAATACAAGGCATGAACATAATAAAATATCACCACCTGGTTAAGTTACTGCAAATTGTTACAAAATTGTAACAAATGTTATAAATGGCGAGACATGCAAATACAAGGCGCGACATGCAAATTGTAACCACCAATGTTACAGACATTGAACACCAACCAATGACGTAAAACAAATTGGAGACTATAACAATGTCACTACTTGAAGTGGTGACATAATGACATAGTAGTAGTGACATGCGAAGTAAAAATAAATGAATGTACTTGTTTACTCCAATATTCATTCTGTATCTCGATTTGCATTTTCATACAATTAGCAAATGATGTAAATTGCGACTTACAGTACTTATTTACTCCAATATTCATTCTGTATCTCGATTTGCATTTCAAACAATTAGCATATGATGTAAATTGCGACTTACAGTACTTATTTACTCCAATATTCATTCTGTATCTCGATTTGCATTTCAAACAATTAGCAAATGATGTAAATTGCGACTTACAGTACTTATTTGTAAACTCCAATATTCATTCTGTATCTCGATTTGCATTTCAAACAATTAGCAAATGATGTAAATTGCGACTTACAGTACTTATTTAAACTCCAATATTCATTCTGTATCTCGATTTGCATTTCAAACAATTAGCAAATGATGTAAATTGCGACTTACAGTACTTATTTACTCCAATATTCATTCTGTATCTCGATTTGCATTTCATACAATTAACAAATGATGTAAATTGCGACTTACAGTGCTCCTTAGCTTCTCCATTAGCTCCGTCAACTGCTTCTGGAACTTGCTGCCGACGCTTATAAATGCCAGCTTGCCTTGTGTAGCATTCGTCGTCTTCCCATCAAACAGACCTTTGACTAGCTTATTCTTGCTCACAGTGAGTATGGCTTCCAATGAGGCATGAAGGGCATCATTGTTCTTCTCAAGGAAGTTTTGCTGAAACAATGGTTTTTGGTTTTGTTAAATTTGTGGTACTTCCTTGGTAATTTCAGATTTAGGATGCTATGTAGATGTTACAATGTGAGAGTAGTTTGCTTTGAAAATTCACATTAAACCTGTATATCTTAACATCTCTCTAATCTGAACACTTCTACAATGTGAGGGGAGTTTGCTTTAAACATTCATGAAATACTGTCTTCTTATTGCAGAGCACAGACTTGTCTTGATTTTTCATGTTCTGCACATTTTAAGAATAATTACCCATAATACTTACAGTATGGTAGCAGACGGCACCAGCAAAATGGCGGATGAGGAATCCTTCATCATCCCTTACATCTCTGTGCGATTTCAGCTTCGATTTCCTTGGAATCTACAAATATCCACCAGGAGAATTAATGCAAGAAAATGACCCTTTTAAGTAAAATATTTGTTTTTGAAGTGAATTTAACTTTGGATGATCTTTCCAATGGTATATCACACGAGGTACCATCTTTTCAAGTATGATAAAAAAGTGGAGTCAAAATAAGAAGTAATGTCAGAGAAATGTGAACACTTACTGAGAGTCTAAAATGGTTTTTGTTTTTGCCATGAACCTCTGAGGTGAAGTGATCAGGACTTGGTCTTGGTAGTTTGTTTTCCTCATCTAGCAGGTCAAATATTCCTATACTGCGCCCTTCTATAAGATCTGGAACATGTACACATATGTTTAGAACTCAAAAGTTACAAGATGGGGCATTAACAAAAAAATAAGTTCATATGCCACCACTTGGTGTGAGACATTGTTAGTAACATTAATCAATCCAATATTGTACAAAACTGGGTAATAATAATCAATTATTAGTCAAAGAACTCACCTATACAATCCTGGTTATCCACATATTCAATTTTCTTCACACCTAGTCCTTCCTTGTCATACAGGGCTTGTTCCTAAAATAAAAATAAACATATCAAATGATAACATACAACACTGATTGAACATTACATACAATCAGGAAATGTTTAAGAATGTCTTCAGAATTTCTGTCAAATAACTGAATATTAAAATGTGATTTTAACTTTACATAGCTCAATAATTATGTCTGAATTTTTCAAATGAATATACATGTATCTTCAATAAATTATACTAAAAGACAATGATTGACGATATATTGTTAAAAGTTCTATAGAAAGCAAAGATAGCATTGCAGAGACTATCACAAATATTGTTATGCTACAGTCACATAATCAATACACAGATTGGGTGAGCATATTTAATAGGAAATATTATGATTTAAAGGTGAGAAAGCTCATCATTAAAAATACATATTCTAGAGTCGAATACATGTTCTAGAGTCAAGTACATGTTCTAGAGTCAAATACATGTTCTAGAGTCTAATACATGTTCTAGAGTCAAATACATGTTCTAGAGTCAAGTACATGTTCTAGAGTCAAGTACATGTTCTATAGTCTAATACATGTTCTAGAGTCAAATACATGCTCTAGAGTCAAATACATGTTCTAGAGTCAAATACATGTTCTAGAGTCAAGAACATGTTCTAGAGTCAAATACATATTCTAGAGTCAAGTACATGTTCTAGAGTCAAATACATGTTCTAGAGTCAAACACATGTTCAAGAGTCAAATACATGTTCTAGAGTAAAATACATGTTCTAGAGTCAAATACATGTTCTAGAGTCAAATACATGTTCCTGTGTCAAATACATGTTCTAGAGTCAAGTAAATGTTCTAGTGTCAAATACATGTTCTCGAGTCAAATACATGTTCTAGAGTCAAATACATGTTCTAGTGTCAAATACATGTTCTAGAGTGAAATACATGTTCTAGAGTGAAATACATGTTCTAGAGTCAAATGCATGTTCTAGCGTCAAAAACATGTTCTAGAGTCAAATACATGTTCTAGCGTCAAAAACATGTTCTAGAGTCAAATACATGTTCTAGAGTCAAATACATGTTCTAGAGTCAAGTACATGTCTAGGGTAATTTCATTTGCAGTATTTGGGAACTGCTTTTAAATCAATTTTTTAATTGTTGAGAGAAACAAGAAAATAAAAGCTGATCCAGTAATAGAAAAAAATCAGGGAACAATAAGTACAGTATTTGAAAAGGTAGAAAAGTGTATGAAAAATGGTCAAATGTAAAGTGTTCGAATGAGTGTAAGAATACTGAATATGTGGAAAAAGTGTAAAAAAATGGTTAAGTTTAAAGTAATTTGAATGTGTGGAAAAGTGTAAAAAAATAGTTAAGTTTAGCATATGAACACACAGACAAATCACAAATTGTGAAGACATTCTAGGTATAAAAAAACATCATGAAAAACGTGCAATATAAATGAACAAAAAAAACAAACAAAACAATTGAGACCACGAACAAAGAGATAAAAACATAAGGTTTGAGAACAAAACAAAACAAAATAATAGAAACAAAAATGTGACAGAAAATAAAATAAAACTAAAACGTGACTGTCATCACATCCAAACCTCCTTGAGAATTCTATCATTGAAGAATTGCTGTAGCTTTTCATTACAGTAGTTAATACAGAACTGTTCGAAACTATTCACTTGGAAATACTCTGAAATCATAGAACATTTAGGATGCGTTAGGAAGCAGTAAAGATTAATATGCAGGCGTATACTAATATTATTTCAGTATGCATACAAGCATATGTATATCTGGTACTAGCATTGCTCAGAGTATAATGTATAAGCAACCTTTGTCAATTTTTCCACTACTGTGGCTGGGTATCTTCTTGTATAAGACAATGTTTTGGTTGAGTGACCAATCTCGATTTCCAACCTCCTCCCAAACCCATTAATGATGACAATAGACCAGTAATGATGACAATTGACCTATCGAATAAATCCTGGCCCATCTCATCTTTGCAAAAATTTCTCCTTAAGAAACCCTCTTCAGTTCAAAATACTCTATATGATATTCAACGATGTAACAAAACCCAAATGATTCCACATAACCCAACTGCTAAATCCAACCTGAATTTTTTGCAATCATGGTTAGAAAGCAAATTTCCCAAGTAAAACCACAATAATAATTCAGAGTTTTCACCACACACAAACTAATACCTTATAATGAAACAGCAATCAGATTGCAGCTATACACATACAACAGTTATTAGTTCATGTATAAGGAAAGCTCTCTGTAACTGGATATCACTGTCCATGATGACACAAGTGAATTATTTCACTGCTTAATGTACAGCACAGTCAAACCTGTCGAAGGAACACCTTTGGTACCACTTTGTTGTTCCACTTTGGAGGTGTTCCACTTATAGAGGTTCATTAAACATAAAGTCAGTTTGTCTTGGGACACTGAAGTATTCAACTAACAGAGGTGTGCCACTTCTAGAGATGTTCCACATTACAGGTTTCACTGTGTCATAATACTGTCAACATTTTCCTTTTGGTGATCATGTACAGATTTGTGGCTTTAATGCCCATTATCAGGATCTGCATGATTTATGCTAACATAACTAGCAGCATTGTTAGTTGGCAGGATCGCATAATAACCCATTTTCAATTGTAAAAGTTGGCGAGCTGTCATGATTTCAGATTAAGGAGAAACTGGTCATTTGCATCAGATATCATGTTTCTGTAGTAAAGCCCAGTTTTATATATTATATTAAGGTGGTGTAACCTACAATAGTAAGGCAAGGCAACCTATACTTTTACTTGAAACCAAGAGACTGAGCATGTGATATCTGGTTACAATACCTTAATTCTTGTAAATTATGATCCTGAACCAGTTTATCCTCAGAATAAGATAATCAGATAACTATAGAAAATGTTAATGCTTATGCAATAATCATAGTTTACACACAAATCTAAACCCACATCTCTCTTATTATATAATAATGAATGCATGGGGTGTTAACACCCTAGAATGGTACATTGAAAATTACACTCTTACAGTTTAGTTATAAACCTTGAAGAGTGGTCATTCAAGGATTGGTATTCTAGAATTCAAGGATTGGTATTCTAGAATTCAAAGATTGGTATTCTAGAATTCAAGGATTGGTATTCTAGAATACAGTACAGATGATGAGAGCTCCCATTTTGATGGGAAGGTTCAGTATTTGTGCATATGAAGCCATTAATATTCTCCTTACAGTGGTAGAGCATTAATTGTCTCTAAGGCCAATACAAAATAATCCATTTAGTGTTTTTTACTTGGCCTTAATAATCAATAAGAGATTTAATATTTAATCAGCGACCATTCACCATGCGCAGACAAATATGCACAATATTAGTTTTTTAACTCATCTTAATTAAATATAAGTTTATTGGTACATTCCTTACAGAAAGGTACCAACGTGATTGTTTATGCAATAGTGCATTTTTGTCCACTGGCATATTTAGTATTTTCTATAATACAGGAGTTAGCCATTTAGATAACCTTTTGTGATCACCATGGCAACCAGGTTACTATGACAACAATACCTCCTTTAGGAGTCTTTGGTTGAAAAATTGCTGCAATTTCTCATTGCAATAATTGGTGCAAAAATGCTCAAAATCATTGAGATCATAGTACTCTAAAAATAAAAGAATATTTAAACTGCTTGAGCAGTATAATTTAAGAAATAATTATACATTTAAAATACATTTTTAACAAATGCATTAAAAACAACATTTCACTTAAAAATTATCATCATGGTACAGATAACTGCCATTAAAATAAAATAATATTTACATTGAGAGAATCATGTAATTTTGCATGTTGAATCACCATATTAGAAAAGCTATTACTTATTTTTATCCAAAGTTTAGTAATCAAAATGTAGAGCTCTTACCAAAGCCAGCAATGTCAAGTACTCCAATATAGCTAGTTGAACTGGTGAATGGTAGGGCCTGGTTCACTCTTTTCACAAGGTAGTCAAACAGCCTGGAGTAAACAGCCTTAGCAAGAGCATCTCGCGCATTGGCAGCCTCGTGGGGCTTGAGAGGAACTCTAGAGATAGAAGGCAGACATGCTAAATAAAATATACCAGTGAAATCAAGTGATATAAAATCTAAAACCATTAACAGTTTGAAAGAACCAAAATAGAATTGACTTCGTTCAATATTAAAAATGATTAGCAGTTTTGACAGAACCAAAATGGAATCACCTATTGATCATTCATTTCAAGTTTTTCTACGTGGAAATATATGTCGTCAATAGTACAATTGGAAGTTCCACTTACTTTATGACAGTTCCTTTTAGTCCACCTTTGCTGGTCATAACTCTTGTGATAAGAGCTTCTCTCAACTCATCTTTTTCAGAGCCTAGCAGACTGGCAGCATGGGCCAATGTACCCTCAGTAGCCTTGGTCACTTTGCAACCCCCTGGAATACAACATGTAAACCCTGTTTATTAAATTCTGACCCTAGTAGACTGATAGCATGAGCCAATTTGAGCACTTTACAACCCCCTGGAATACAACATGTTAACTCCATGGATTAAATTCTGAAATAAGAAATACCACATGTAATACACATATTCAATTCATCTGTAAAACTAATGGTATGTACAAATTTAAAAACATAACAAGCCTTTTCTATCACACAAATTAACCTATGAATTGCAAAATGTAAACCCCTTAGCATATTCAAACCCACATGAACTGCATACACATGAAACCATACCTTTTGAATCCTCAACATTATCCTCAAAATTAATGTTTCCTAGATGTAGGACTGCAGCTACAATGGTGTATATATCTAGTTTGTCCTTATCATCTATCATCATATCACTGAGGGCTTTGTCAGTGGCCTTAAAGTCATTCATGTCGTCCAATTGGATGTCTTTCAGGGCGCCATCTTTCAGGAACTGTCAAGTAAATGTAATTGAACGATCATCATCTTTTCCGAGGTAGACATATTTTAAAGCATAGCATTCAGTCAATTCTACAATTCTACTGTTAGGACTGACTTTTTAATGATTAAATAACAATGCTGTACTTGAAAAGTAAACATGTACATCTACTAATCATGTATTTAACAAAAGATATGCAAGCCTCAAATATTACAATGTACTGGATTTTTTCATTGATCAAAAAGTTTGCTGAATCATGACACTCAGAAATTTGATTTAGAGCAGCAAAATTTACATCCATTATGCAGAGAGTAATTGCATAACCTCTTGACCAAGTACATGTGCGTACTTCTTTCTTAATATGTTTAATCTATAATAGTATATGTTAAACAATAAGCAGAATACAAGTTAGAAAATAAAAATTAGGTCAATGTTTAAATGATTATATACCAAAATCTCAGGATTACAGATTGTATACAAAGAGAGAGGAGAGAGAAATCCATAACGTTAAAACATTGCAATGGACATAAAATACAATACTTAAAGTACACTAAATGCAAAACATTACAGTACACTAGGATACTAACCTGTTTACTGAGCCTATTCTTATTAATAGTCTTCAGTGAGTTTTTGTTGCAGAAGTATTGTGAATTGCCACGGTTCAGGTACTACAGAAATATACAAACACATCATAGAATACATGTACAACATTCAATATATAGTATCATAGTAGAGTACAAAATAGTATAATACAATACAGTGCAGTACCATATAGTATATGGTACAATACCATTCAGTATAGTATAGTACAGTACTATACAGTACAGTGTCATTCAGTATAATACTATATATAGTAAAGTACTATCCAAACAGTGCAGCATATTACAGTACAATATAGTACATAATGGAACAGTGCTGTACAGAAAAAAGGTTTACATTACAGAATATATAGAATACTACAGAACAAATCATAATTAACTCGGGAATGGGAAGTATTTTAAAAGTCTGAATAAGAATGGTAAACCCTATGATAAAAATAATTAAAAGCTATTCAGATTCCATATTTTCTGTGCTTTTTATGATTTTTTTCTGTTAATTCACGAATTGAACCATTTATTTGATGTCTGCTTGCAACAAAGCCATCTCCATAGCAACACAAATGATTCATTTGCTTAGAGTTTAACTTGACTTTTATACTACTTAAATAAGCATGCATATAATAATATTGACATGAATATGGAAAAATATATAATATAAGCTATTTACAAATAACAATGCAATTTCTAGGAATTAGAACTTGAACTGCACAATTACAAAATCAAACATAAAGACAAAATATTACATACACATGCATTTGAAAAATAAATGTAGTCAAATCACAAAATACTGATACAGTTCATAAAACGATTTGATCACTAAACTTCTGTTTCCTAAATGCATCTTGTAATACAAACAAACACAGCAAGAACTAAACAATTCACACAAAATGATCTACTACTGTGCATAAGTATCTGTACAGTGTAGTATGAAAATGATGAATTTTGACATTGAAAAAAGATTTGATGATAAGACGACTATTTAGATAAAAAGTTGAGGCAAAAAAACATGACAAGATAACTATAACTGTCAAAAAAAATTATGACAATATATAAATGTCAACTGTTAAACACAAGGTACAATCTAAAAGTCAAACTTACATGGAATGTATCAGGTGGACCAAGTTGTAGTTTTTGTCTCAAATCGTCAGGTGCTCCAGCACACATGCGATAGAAAATATGGTAATTGCGCTCTTCCCGGCTCTGCACGCATATTCGAGATTTCTCTAGCAGATAATGGGAAATCTGTCCTCCAACCACTGAGTACTGGAAAAGAAATTCAAGGAATTTTTTCTAATTTTTTTTTAGACAAAGACAATTTCAATATTTCATCATAAAAAAATGTTCATATATAATGGCTTGCCAATTGCCTTCATGGCACTTTAGGCTGAGCTGAAGAATTCAAGAAATAGTTTGGTCAATGTAGATTAGCTGTGTCTTTAACAAGAGGCATGTTAATAATGGTAATAACATGGATTCAGCATAAAGAAATGGTGGATACAGTAGGTCTGCAATGACTTTGATGGGAAGAATATGGATTTAGTAAACATTTATGGTCCATAAGACCCATTTCTGTTATTTTTTTTATTTTTTTTTATTTATTTATTTGGAAAACGCTTTTAGAGCAGCGGCACTCAAATCGGTGCATCCAATACATCATATATAAAATATAAATGGGATAAAACATATCATGCAAAAGGCCACTAAAAACATGCATACGACTAATGTGTGCACTGTACATGTATTTTCTTTAAAAACAATTTGACATATTTGTCAAACTTCACGTAATTATCATGTCCCCACAAGATTAAAGTGTCATCTCCCAGAGCCCAACATGTTTTTAGTTGTACACTTCCTGCTAGAAAGTCAGAGGAGAGTTGGTGGTTGCAGTTTGACACAACATTATTGAAAAATACATTCCTATCACTACCAAAGTAGGGACAGACAAAAAGTCTATGCTGTATAGTATCTTTAACATTGAGGTTACAAAAGAGACATATACCATTGCCTTGACCCCATCTTTGAAGGTCGGAGCGAAGGCCAAAACATCCCGTTCTTGCCATGAATTTAAGTTTCTGACCATAGAAATCAAAGTCTGAGTTCATATAATAATATATAAAATAACTCACTTTGTTTGTTAATCAATTTGAATACCGATAGTTTCTGGTAAGAATGGTTGTAGCATATATAGGCAACGGACCCCAGTACCTACCTTGTTATTGAAATGTATCTCGACAAACTTTCCAAACCTACTACTGTTGTTATTTCTCACAGTTTTAGCATTACCAAATGCTTCTAGGAGGGGATTAGCTGAAATTACATAGAAAAAGTTATAGGACAGTTCAATTTATGTATGATTTGACAGCATTTGTAACACAAAGGGCTCAATTGAAAAGAGACCCTATGATATGCCTTGGTTGAATTAACGTTTGCCTAAATACATTGCTATAAAGAAGTGGCTACAAAGCAGCGTATTTAACCTAAAATCATTTATTTACCATCATAAAATAATTTGCTAGAACATGAAATTTAAAAAACAGGAAAAATCAAGATGTTTCTTACGACTCACATTCTACGATTCTGGCCTCAATTTGTCCCGCGTGACTGCCCCATGATTCTGTTAGATACTTTAGGATATATTTGGTGGACTCTGTTTTTCCAGCCCCTGATTCACCACTCACTATGATGGATTGGCTCTTCTTTAGGGTCTTCATGTCCCTGTAGGATTTGTCAGCTAAAATACAGAATATGGGTAAGTTGAATAATAAGTGAATGTTGTTTGATTTGGTTTTTCCCAGTACAGAGAACATTTCAGAAACAACAAACAGCATCTAGGATAAGATTATTATAACACCCCCCCCCCCCGTCGCATACTTCTGATGTTCATTGACTTGAAGGGTTACAAACTGTTTGAATGACCAAAGCTAATTGGTTAGAGAACATATGGGACCATAAATTAGTAGATTCAATCTCAATTCCCATAAATTGTCTATGTGTAACCAAACCGAGTCAATTAATTTTATCAACCAAACCAACAGTATCGAGTATTATGTTCTACTCACCTATAGCGAAGCAATGAGGTGGAACTGTTCCAAGGGATTTCCCCTGGTATTTCTTGATACAAGCACTGTCATACAGAGTGGGGATCTCAAAGTATGGGTTGATAGCGATGAGAATGTTGGCTACATAGGTCTGGAAGAAAAACCAAAACATATTGTGAAACACTTTAAGTGCAACTTTTTTTAAGATCCTCAAGATTCAATTTTAGTGCAATTGTGTTTTATTGTAAAAACGCAAATGTAAAATAGTGCTGCTGATAAAAAATTTTGAAATAAATAAAAATAAAAAATAAAATATTGCATTTCCAAGTCATGGTGCTATTGAAAAATAATATTAATGACAAATGTAGGTCAGCTTAGACTAGACTTTCCACACGAAATATTAATTAGAAACTTTTATAATATGAATGCATGTATATTGTACATGTTCATATTAAACTTACATATATAGAGTTTTTCATATAGCGGATTCTTATATTGTTGAGTAGGGTAGCCTCATTTAAGTACATAAGCCCACCTGGAAAATAAAGAAGAGATATTCATTTACATCCATTCATTTGTAAGACATTTGTATTTGTATATTTTAGGGGTTCTGAATGGTTTTATATTTTTAGAATATTGACCTTTGTGACTATACACTTTGAGTTTTGATTACATATTCATATAGGACACATAAAATTTCCTGAATCATTTAAAATTGGCCAGTAACATTTCAAAATGTATATATTCCAAAATATAGAACTTTATGAACAAAGGCAAGATGAACTTATGTCCTGCCACACCCAATCATATTAGAGTTGAGGAATGAGACTATGTATTGCTTTGTCTACAGTAGATCCCCAGTGTCATACTGGCAGACATAACATAGAATAGCAAAGATTTATTCACATAACCTTTTACTTATCAGTCTGATCTGAGAGTATTAAAGTTACCATGGCATTATAAACAACTATAGACAACAGAATATTGTGATAAAACAATCATTAATAAGGAAAATAGAAGTATTGTACTTTATGCTTTAAAGCCATGGTGATATTACATTATAAACATTAATAATTCAAACTTCTATTTTGTACATGATACTATCTAAATATTTTGTATAATGTACTTTTAAAAGCAAACAATTTGTCTCAATGAATATTCAAAAATAGCGTGAATATCAGGGGGATTTTTATACATGAATTACATTGTATATTATATTACTTAAAGGTGTTAGTAATTGTACATTATGAATTATTTCATATACAGTATAGCATAGACAGTCTCAATAAAAACATGGTCAAATCGGTAATAATGTCATAAATTTAAGAATTTCTTTTGGCAATGAATGGGACTGTGAATCATGGTGACATTCACTAGACTCTTTATAAAACTTCATCAAGTGAAAATAGAGCTCAAGACAAACAACACTAACAATATAACATTTATGCTAAAGGTGTGGTATGTTTATCATCATCTAGTATGATCATGTATTTTAATCAAGATTTGAGTTGATGTTTGCATGATTGTGTGTTTATATACAGAGACTCAACTTGAGTGAATAGATACTGTTTTAATTTGCCATTTCCTGATGGCTACAGTGATAACAACCCATATGTCTGACGGACTAACATGTTCAAGAGTCAATAAAAGATAAATAGTGATTTCCCTAGGATTTTTCGCAAAAAAATGAAAAATCTGAAAATTGAATCCAGTTTGGTCCAAATGTCTCAAATTTTATCTCATGAAGAGAGCGGAAACAGATTCATATCAAGTGACACAAAATTTTCAAATTTACAACAGGGTACAGCAACCAATTGCTAAAATGATGCTGGTAAAGTACATTACAAGGTTTTTTTGACATTTTACTATGTGTACATGTCCGCATCCCTGAGATGAGTCATAATCTACAAACATTCAGATCATAACTTTACAAAACTACAAATTCTTAAGTTAATATCAGGTCAATTTTGATTACATTTCAATAATAATATCATAATGGTTCACATGGACGTCAATATGAGTTCATAAAACGTACATAATGAGTTTTTAATAACAGCATGTGTTTGATAAATCGTAATATTTTAAATTATTATAGGCCTAATTAGACACATGCTGGGGACCTGGTTCAACATGTTACATTAAATATATTTATGTCAAAATGAATATTTACAATAATATGTAAAATAAGGCATTAACTTGACAAAATGTAACCACTTGATAAATGGTTACAAAAATGTGACAATTTGTTACAAAAATGTAACAATTTGTTACAAAAATGTAACAATTTGTTACAAAAATGTGACAATTTGTTATAAAAATGTGACAATTTGTTACAGATGCCTAATGCTGACAACCAACAAACTCAAATCACAAAAATACCTTTTAATCTTTTAAATTTTGGTCTTTAAAAAAAAGCTTCGTCTACATAATATTACACAAATGGTAACTATAACAATATTGTTGGTGACATAATAAAGTGACACTGAAGCCTCCATAGCTTTCTACATTATGAAATTAATTTCTGATCTAATGGAAATAAGACACTACTGTATATAACAGCTAGTCAGTGAAAGTTCATGTCAGTGCTATGTAGGAAACAACATATTACCTTAGACTACCTGTACTGTATCACTGAACTGTATGAAAGTGATATTTTTCTATGGGGTTTACTCTATGAAATATGATATATATTCATGACTTTTAACTATTGTTGAAGCATATCATGAATCAGAAGAAGCTGACACGGTCAAATTTTCCCTACTGTGAACTTGGGAGTAGTTTTTGGTACAATTGTAACTTAGGATTCCAGGAAAATTATTGTCGAACTTTTGACAAACAATGACTTGCGACCTAATCGTAGGTTATGACGGTTCCAAAATCTGATCCTTGGGTCTCTATTAAGATCAAATATTTTTCTAAATTCCCACAATATAATTTTCGTCATACATCTTTGGAAAATACATTTAAATCTTTTGTATGATACATGAATGGTTTCAGATGAGTGTTGGAAAAAGATATCCCTTTTTCCATATTAGAGGATCCACTGTACATATATTAGTCCGAGTATATAAATCATCTATTCATTATTACTTGCTAATTATACTAATTTCCTTGTTATTTTGCAATGAAGCCATGACAAATGGGACACTTTTACTCAGATAGAGACGGATGTTACTATGGTAACCATGCAACATAGAAATACGAGACAAGGCAATATGGCAATTCCCCTTATAAAGTATATAAATTCATGCTTAACCTATTCTATCTAGATATGCTATTACTAGAAACAGCATACAAAATTTGCAGTTATATATAATTTAGATTATTTGCTTTAAATTTAATCAAACTGTCTGAAATTACATGTACATCATATACTGCAGTTGCATGCTATATGGCAATGCTATATATGTTGAACATGACATTTCCCTGTAGAAACTCTGTATCTGTAATACAAGGTATTAACATGCAAAATGTCACCACCCACCACTTCCCATTTGTTACAGATGCCGAATGCCGAACTTTGAATGCCAAATGCTGAACACCTTCAACAAAAAAGATTCCAATTGTGAAGGCCTTACGTACATGTTCTACCTTAGAAATCAAAGATGTTACCCCAGCCCCAGCTTGAAATGAAACAACAATAATTGATAACATGTCAAAATACTGCTTGGCCTTGTATACTTCTCTTCAATTATACATGTATCCTTCAAAACAAATGGTAGGGGGAAGATATAAGGCTTCATACAAGAATAAATAGAAAAAGAAAACCCAGTACATCCAATCAGTGAAGTGAAAATACAATTAAGAGATTCTCAATTACCTAGCAACTGATTAAATAAATACAATGATATGCATTCTGATATTCGTCACATTTTACAAGATATAGAAATTGTAATAGTACACCACAGTGATGCATATTGCATATTGCAATACATGAGTATCTAATTACTATGACATGTCACACATAATAATGACTATGACATCCTAATCATCCAACATTAACATGAATTTAAAAGCATTCAGGACTTATATTCTAATTATAATATACATTGGAGATAAATTAAAGCAAATTCTACCAATCCAACCCATTATGTTTACTTCTAGGGGCCCCATGAGATTAGTACGCTGCCATGTTTGGGTACATTGTCTACATAACAGTACTTAGAATTAGATAGAAATACATTTGATTTGTTACTGTTTCAACAAGACATAGAAGTACAGTAAAACATGTATACAGTAAACACCTATGGAACCACAAAAATGTGTTCACTATAGGTAGGTGTTCACTTCAGAGGGTAATTTATACAGTCAATAGAGTATGTGTTGAGGAAGGGTGTGTACTTGAGACGGGTGTTCACTTAAGAGAGGTGTTCACTAAGACAGGTTTCACTGTATGTCTAAATACACCCATAATGCAACAGAATAATACTCACAGTTATCTTCGACATCTTTGTTGTCATATTCCTCAGCGGGAAATACTCTGTCATAGGGGGCACTGATTGACTACAAATATAGGAGATATTATGAGACATAAGTACAGTGAATCTAAATATCATATGGATCAATGTCAAGAGAATGGGGTGGTGCAATACAAGAGCATAATGCAGTCATTGTAAAATATTAGCCTAGCTACAGGCCTCTTTGACCCCCCTTATACTTGACTAAACACCTTGTCAAACAGAGTTGTTGTTGTAGTAGGGAGGGGGGGGGTCACAAGGATTTGTAGCTTGATTATAAAATATAAACATGGCTGAAATATATGGCAGTCATATATACATATATCATTGGAAAGATCTGAAATTACATTGCTGTATATACCATTAGATAGAATAGTATCACTATCACATATATAAACCACTGATATTAGAAATTGATTTTTAGATAAATATGACATAATACATGTTCATGTTTATTAATGAGACATATAATTAAAATATCCATAGCACAAACATGACATGTTTACAAAATAAACATTTCTAAAGTCAAAAATCAAAGTTGATATTTATTTACATTACGTCGAACTTGAATACTTTATTATGTGCTTAGTGAGATTGATTAAACAGAGAATAAATACTTTTACAAATAATCAACCTTCATATACTGCATTAAGGGCTATAGTAATTCTACTTCAATTTTATGGCTTGATTTCCCTTTACAAGAGCAAGACACCATCTAACAGGCCCTTTCTACAATGCTATATGATCTAAAAGTAACATTATCAATATAAACTATATGGTCCTCTCAGAATTGTTAAGTCAGATACTACAACATTCTCTACCTTTGAGTATAATATAAATGAAATGTTCCTTGGTGTTATGGTCTCAGAATGTGATATTGGTACTTGAATGGTGGGGAGGGGGGGGGGGTATTAGACAATGTTTCCTTTCGGCATTAGATTATAATTTGGGCTAGTTGGGGTTAGTTTTTCCTTGTGATTGGTCTACTCTTATTTTTTCTTGCTGTCTGTAACCATTTTGGGTAATTTACCATTGGCACTTGCACATGTTATATTGCCATTTCATTCCACATTCAAACTTATAAAATACCATGAAAGCTTATTACTGGCAATTCAGAGTATCTACTACCACTGCCAGCAACCCAGCATTACCGTAGTGCACTAGCTTGAGTTCATTAAGATCTCAATAGGATCAATAGTGTGAAATCACCTGATGTATTAAGAGGGTAGAGTGGCAGTAGACATAGATTCAGAGTATCCTTGGTGCCTGTAATTGGTATATATATCATACATACATACATACATACACACAGTTAAAGTTATCTTCTATCTTGGGTGGGGATGTTATCATTTGAAACAAATATGACTCAAATCTTTTTAAAATGTTCAGTATGATTGAAGTATATGAATGAGTTGGATTGGTAAACATTCAAGGCAATTATCAATAGATTCTATTTCTTATGCTAAGTATAATATTTTGTTTTGCAATGGTACATAAAAACAAGCTAGTGCAAAATCTCTGTTTAATTAAGATTTTTTATTTCTTTACTAACACCACATGGTTGCATGCGAAGAGTTGGAACGAGTTTTTATATGGCCAGCAGACATAATGTTTTAACCATGTACTGCATGTACAAAGTCTACAACTTTGTTAACTAAATTTTAGAAATGAGTTTATGATAAAAATTGTAAATATGAAAACTGTTCTCATGGGAACACCTTCAACCATGAACATTTGTATACAAAATGTCTCTATAGCAACCTGTAAATTCACTCAAGGCAGGTTTTACGTCAGTATGAATTTCAACTTGGTGAATCTTTTATATTTTGAAATAATCACAATTCAGCCCTACTTAAAGTCAATGTGTCAATGATAAACATTGTCAAAAAGCCAAAATCGTGTAACAATAAAAGTTTCAGTATGACTTAGTACATGTACATTGTAACCTTTAATTGTAAACCAGTTCAGTCTCTATATTCTCAGGAATTTATCAAAAGCTGAAAAGATATAAAGTGACTCTGATAAATCAGATCAAGCCACCTGACATTTGTTACAGACACCAACCACCATTTGTAACATGTGTTACAGAAAATGACTGCCATTTGTTATATATGTTATAGACACCAACCACTGAACACCACCCACAAAAAAGTTGGAGACTATAACAATACGTCACCACCTCTTCATCAAGTCAATAGTTTTAGGTCTGATCATTTTTTGCAAGAGCTTTTAATAATATGTGTCCATGTAGTGAAATATTTATGAGGGTTCACTTATAATATGTAATGAGGAACCAATATAAGGGGTCACTTCACATATACCAATACAGGTATACTTCATATTAAACATGGACTTTTAACAAACATGCAAAACTTGATCTATCTAATATCTAAAAGCCTTGATACTACAGCATCTTCAAAACAAAAATTATTTGTTGATAAGATATAACATGCTTTTGACCAGTATGCATTTTATGATAGGGTCAACACATTGCAGTCATATACATGCACCCCAATATCATCATACCATATCTGGACTTCACAATCTGATATTTATAGCATCTTTCATTGTTGTATCGTAGAAGGACTGCAGAGATAGAGAAGGGATGCTTATAACCACAATGTGGACTTTGGCAAAATGTTAAGATTTGCATTCAGATCTACTTCTGATATCATATATCATCAGGATTTGATAGAAGACTGTGATGCCCCAAAATGATGATAATATTAAGACTCAACAAGCTAAAGGTAATAATCACAATGCCACCCACATAGAGCACGTATCATCATACATGTATAGAGCTAGACTATATGCTTTAATAATAGATCCTTCTGTCTCTATCACAGATGCATTAATCAATTCTATAATTCCTAGTTGTCTATTGTTACCATGACAATGGCTATGTATCAATATGTTATATAGCTGGTAGTCAGTCAATGTGACACCTGACTCCCACTATGGTGAATAATGGCAATTTCAATTGTCTGTTGTAAAAGAGAAGATGAGATGAATGTTAGCATCCTGAGGTAGATACCTGGCTGATGTATAGAATTAATACCTTTAAAGATGCAATCCCAGGACCCAGTACAAGGTTCTGTTCTCCAATCAAAATGTAGTTTTCAATAAGATTCAAAGCTAAGTGATTACACAAACATGTTTGGCATCTCTACAAACCATGCTTGGCTTCTTTTAACCTCAAGTCAAGAGACTGACGCTTGACAGTATGTTGGCAACGGCAATATTAACAATTAAGGGCACCCCATCTTTAATTTGCATCAATATGTTGCGTTTTGACACACAGTTAACCCCTTTAAAGGAATAAGTGATTCCTTCAGGGGTTTTAAAGATATCAACAATTATGGGTGTCCAAAATTAGCTGAAAGCAATGGATCGCATGGGTTTTCCCTATGGGAAAATAACATGGGAATATTGTTTTCCACCACTTATTCCTTTAAAGGGGTTAACTGTTTGTCAAAACACAATACGCTGATGCAAGAAAAATTAAAAAAGCAGGGGTGGAATGGGGTTGAAAATCAGGAAAACATTTCAGAAAAAACACGTGGGTGGGTTGTTTGCATCTTCCCTGTCTAAAAGTTGAAATTATTTTATCATCTCTAGGAGTGCTTTTCCTGGAGGTAATGCATTTGTCAAACATATGCACCTGTTTAAATCCACAGAAAATAGCCAAAATCGAACATATGACTGTCAGAAATCTGTTGCGATACTTTCCCTCCTCCTTTGCATGAGTTCTACCTGTAATCATATTCATGTATTTCCTGTACACCTTGGCCATGAGTATGAATAATTCAATACTCTATACTAACATGATCTGCCCATAGCAATACAGTACAGTATATGTAAATATTTAATTACATGAACTATATTCAATGCTTCTTCAAACATATGTTTGGATGGTCATTTGATTTCATACTGATCTAAGAGGAAATTGATTTTGCTATCTACACAATATATAGATCTATGTATTTCCCGTATTGATATGTCAATACGATACGATATTGCACAAAATGCACATTTCTAACTAAATTCTCACGCATTCTCACGATGCCACTTTAATTAAACTTCCCACCTCTTAAATGGAATATTAGACCTTTCCTGCGCAATGAAAACAGGGCATTTTCATGTTAAATATCACCACCTGCCATTTGTTACAGACACTGACCACAAAATGTCAACCACAGAACACCATCCTTAAAAAATGTTGAAGACTATAACAGTATGTAACAACTTCTGGTGGTGACATAAAAACCAAGGACACTGAATGTACACTTCACAATTAGTACTCCGGTGCAGTGAAAAAACAAGTACAAAAGGGATATTAAATGTACAATTAACTATAGTACTCATACCTTTCCAGGAGAATCAAATGGCTCTACTGCGATGGTATCTGACCCAATGTCTACAATACGTCCTAGTTTGTAGCCTTCTAAGGGGTGAGGCACCCACACCTTCTTACCCCCATCCATCCTAGTCACCTAGCAACTAACCTGAAATTACAAAAGTGTAAATTTAAGATTAAGTGTATTACAATGATCTTGGAAATCAAGCCTTAAGAATTGAAGAAAGGTGGAATTACCAACTACCATATGATGTTAAATGATTTGCAGGAAGTGAACATTGAGGGAATTGATCAATCTATTGTTAAGCACAATGTAAAGGTATATCTATCAAGGTTAACACACAAAGTAAACAGTACAGTTAAACTTGTATACAGTGAACACTGAACAGCTATGGAGCCACAAAAATGTGTTCTCTGTAGGTAGGTGTTCACTACATAGAGGCAATTTCATACAGGAGTCAGATGAGTATATGCCGAAGATGTTCAATAGACACAAGTGTTCACTAGAGAAAAGTGTTCACTAAGACAGGTTTAAAAGTAGTTACATTAGATGGAGTCTCTTTTCTTTGTTTACATACATGTAATATACTTGTACATGCATATCTCAAGATATTTGTACTCAAGTTATGAAATACATTATCAATCAAATATATATAATCTTAGTCTGCTGTTGAATACATTCTGGTGTGTCTTTATGATTATGTTCCCATGCTAGGTTACGAAATGACTTTAAATACAGTAATAGCTATAACAAAATCCCAATGCTTACGATACAAAACTCATTATTTCGTCACTACATCAGGTAACCGTTATGAAACAATAGCAATGTTTTAATAATTTGATTTATCAGGTAATCTACATTGGTGATTCAACAAGAAAGGGGGCAAAACTTATCCTTGGTTCTAGGGTATTTCACTTCTTTCTGAATTTAAGCCTAAATGAAGTCCTTTGAAGAGGGCTGAAACTCATTATAATGGGGTATTAGAGACTGAGACAAACATTTTATCCCCAATCGCTAAGTAAAAGAGATAGAATTTTGCTGTAAATTGAGAATTTATTCTTGTTAGCATTTCTTAGAATGAATATGATTGACTTCAATCCAGAGACAATAGATATATCTACATGTACATTAAGCCAGCTGAAGAGCTATTGAGAATGGTATAGATCAGCTATTAAAAAAATCCACTATGCTCATTTTTAAATTGTTAAATAAAGAGGAAAGGAATGTAATATGTACATTGTAATGTGGATAAACATAAAGACTTTAACCTAAATCATATAGAAATCTGAGGTGAACAGAGAGTTCTTTCTTTCATTGATAAATTAAGTAGAATTGCAATGGCAATACAGATATTTCAAGTATAGGAATATCATTGATCTCCCATTATACAAAAGCTGCCCCTAAATGAGATATACAATACCATTACAGGCATATACTTTGTGAAGAAGAAAAAGAAGGACTCACAACTATACCTCAAACTAAAACTTTACATTACAACTAAAGGGCTGGAAACAAAATGAAATCACTTTATTCACATTCTAGAAACTGTACTATAACCTGTGTAAGGTATATTTTGAGCACAGGTATACTATGCCAGGTGAGATAAAACATAATGACAAAAGCCAATATCAGAGCCAATACTATATATAGGTATGAAACCTTTTTTATATCTATAGAAACATCTTGAAATATGAACACTTTAGGGTTAGTTTAACAACACTCCATTGACTCCCCAGTTAGCGCCTCCACACTTTAAACACCTCTTAATATTAATGTGAGGGTCTTTAGCTGGTCCCAGCAATGTTTACTTTCAAAGGTTTTACTGTGTTTCCTTGCAGTATAAGGTGAATCAGCTGGGATTTGAAGGCCGCATTGTATATATGTAACAATAGTCCATTCATTTATTCCCATAGACATTTAATGTGAAACGAGTACATGTATAAATTAATACAGCTTTTAATAAGGTAAAAACACTTACCTTTAATGATATAAATAAATGCAAATCTCTGATGATTTTTATATTTTCACATTATATTAGACATGACATGGCTAAACTGATATTGTACTAATTTTCTGTCAACTAAGACTGAGCCTTCGCTTCCTTTGAAATACCTATAGTTAGTCAGCTAAAGGACCAAATTATGTTGACTTATACATAGGTTCTCTAACATTTTTTTTATCATATTCTAAAGAAAGAACATGCACTATTAACTTTCATTCATATATGATGACTCATTGTTTATGAGTGCAGAAAGTAGAATCATGAAAGACTTTAGCCATATTGAAAGACATGAAAGACTTTAGCCATATTGAAAGACATGAAAGACTTAAGTCATATTGAAAGATGTATAAGGTATTTTGTGATTCGTAAACCCAGCTAGACTATTAGGGAGTCATAAACAATCACATTACCATAGTCCTAATCAGGTACATCTTGTACCAAGTATCTGTGCCTCCCGCCCCCACCCACAATATAACATACAGTGAAACCTGTCTTAGTAAACACCTCTCTCTAGTGAACACATGTGTCTAGTGAACACCCCTCCTCAGTGCATACTTCACCGACTTCTGTAAAATTACCCTCTCTGTTGTGAACACCTATCTACAGTGAACACATTTCTGTGGATCCAAGGGTGTTCAATATATACAGGTTTTTCTGTGCTTACAACAGATAGATGGACATTGAGATAATAGAGGGGCTATTACAAGACTACGTGTTCACCCAACCAAACCAACCACAGATATATAACAGGAATAATATTATTATTGTACAGGAATCAACAATATTAACATAGCTGATGTAGATTTGATATAGATTAACATTCTCTCCTACTGATAGCAATAATCATTTTAATAAATCAACATAGTATACTAATTTCAAACCCTTCTAATATAACAGTGAATCTCATATGACAATATGTGATGATAAGGGGTGGTATATGTACTTGCCATGTTACGACTGTAATAGACCGTAGATATTTATCATACAGTGATATGAAGATATCTTATTTTCATAAGTCTTGAACTCTAGATATCACCCTACTGGCCTGTATCATAACAGTGACTTATTTTCCAACAAGAAAAGAAAATGAAAAAATCTTGAGTAATCCTCTCTATTATCCATTTTTACTTTCTAGCTGCTCCTCAGAAGTTGGGTCCTAAGTATGTAACTATTCCGCAAGTAAGAAGTATGTTCCTTACAAACAGGTTTTACTGTAATAAGTATGAGACCAAAGACATGTAGATATCAGAATTAAAAGAAACAAATGAGTGGCAACTACCATTATCCAAATTTTGAGGAAACAGACAGGAAGGTGCTGATTATATATAAAGTCATAACAAAATATACTTTAAATAAATCCTTTATACCACCAGTGATCCGATTATGTGCACATGTATAAGGTTTACATTTCCTTTGAATGATTATTAAATTTTTGGTAATATTTGGAAAAGGATTTCCTAGAATCTGAGTTAAGAGATAAGGTTTATGAGATAATGCATGCCTAACCTAAAAAGTTCATCAAAGTACACATATTGACTGTATGAACCTCAAAATACTGTTGACAGTGAGAAATTTAACAGTACTAATTATTGGAAGTTGTAAGAATTTGTTATAGACGCCAACCATTGAATGCCAAACACCAACCATGGAATACCAAACACCAACCAAATGAAAAAAGATGAAGATAACAACAATATGTCACCACTTTTGGAAGTCACATAATATGATAATATAAAACTGACATCCATCAAAACATTGATGATAACATGACTTTGATTTTGATATTTTCCCTTATGGAGGTAATAAAATATACCTCGTTATAGTCAAGTCTATAAACACCTGTCTCTTCATATAATTCTAATATCAATCAAATCAAAGCTGATATTACTGTTGTGATTGCCAGGCACATCTTATTTACTTGACACATACAAGTACAATTTATCTGGTTCTGAGCACTACTCAATTCACCAGGTAATATTTGTCAATACAGGCACCTAGTTTAAGAATTATCATTTCAATCAAATCGTATATGATACATAATGTAGTTGCAAGACACGTGTCATTTTTTTCATATACATACAATGTAAGAGTACATGTAGATGTAATACCTTTATTAAAAAATAATGTTCAAACATTTAATGCTTTCAAGGATAAGATTCACATTCTCCCATTGAGGTTGGAGGTATCGGTTCTGGATAGTGGAAATGAAAAGATCATATAATTCTGTAGAGAGTCCTCAAGAAACAACTGGAAATGGACATACTATGAGAAAATAATTTTGATTTATCAGAAAAAAGTTGTGTTTTAGGTTTCGAACTTCATATACTTACTGTGAAATTTGTGCATGATCTAACTTATCAGAATTAACTGATATATTAAATCATCATAAATCATTGAATTATGCATTAAACGATCCTATTAGAATAAAGATTGTTATAAATTGGTTGGGATAAACTGTTGTATAAATATTTTTTCTGGATAGAGCTCCCTTTCTAGTCTAATTCAGATTATAGACCCCTAATCTCAAGGTGATTCTATGCAATAATTTAATACACTTGATGTACACTTACCATTGAATAACTAAAGAAATTTATGATCAACTTAGTACAATATACATATGTATAAATTATGGTAGATACGCTTTAATAAATGAAACAATTCTAACATCCAAATCTACATGCACAATGCCAGTCATATCATGTGTAGATGTATCATGATCAAGCTGCATTTACTTACCTTACAATCAACAATTTAGAGTTGAAAATTCAGTTAAATAAAAATATCCAGTTTTTATCAGATTATATTCCGTCTTTTTCTACTGATCCCACCGCATATGCAATCTAATATATTTTGGTGAGATTATGTAGACTGATATCACATCATATTTATGCACTTACTTACAGTACTGGAGTAATGGCTAAGTCCAAGAGTTCTGACTTTCAGGATGTCATAGCTATAAGAACAACATCAATATTCTGTATGGTAATGTGTTGACCCACTAAACAAAGCCTAATTATAATATGCCCCAATCCTAACACTTGCCACTCAAAGTTAATTGCAGGTTACTTTATACATGCACGATGCCTTATCATCTGTCTCTTACTAATTAGGAAATCATTAGAAAGGTATCCTATGTTACCATGCATTATTGTAATGCAATACTGTATACCAATATATCTAATTACTGTACGAACCAGAAATTTGGCACTCTGAATCAAGTGGTCAGTAATCAGTATTTTAAATGAATTTTCATATTGGTTAGATCAGATAGATTCCTTTGACTGAAAACAGAAAAAATCTTCTATTTATCCATATAAATCAGGGGGGGGGGCATCAACAGAGAATAAGGAATTCCAAAAGACTATTGTTCTTTAACTATGACATCATCATGTTCACGGTTACAACAATTGAAGATCTTAACTTTACGAAGTTTCTGTTAATGACACCCATGATAACATTAATATTTATCCTGATTACATAATAAAATGTATTTGTGACGACCAATTGAAAACTCTTTAATCACTTTTTCGTTTCAAATTTCTTTTGCCAAAGACTGTTCCGTGATGTAGGTCTTTTGAGAACAGAATAAAATTTTGATGATGTTTATCATCTACTCCAACTAAATGGGACATTATGATGCTTATCCTTGGAGTAGTAGGTGAAGCCGCCAAAGAATCTAGAGACAAATTATCCCTTATAGAAATCATAGAGACAATTACCTATCCGATATGTCCTTAAGGACTGTAGCATAGTTTAAGAACCGGGTAAGAATAAGTGACTACAATATACATGTACAGAAGTCTATCATTGAGAAACAGTACAGTTCAGTAGAATTGGAGTAATTGCACCCCCCCCCCCAAATATGTCTGAATAAAGACATAAATAGTCTTGCAATGAGGCAAATATTTTTAAAAGTTTATACTTCCTTGTTTCAGCGATATATGTCGGTATATTTATTTCAAACGATTACACAGAGCAACCGTATATTCAATTCAGGAAGTAGTTCTAAAAAATGAAAAATAAATACGAAATTACCCATTTTTAACACCACTGACCACCGTTTCGTGACATTTCTATGCGAATCAAGCCACCGATCTAGCCCATAATTGACAGTTATATAATAAATAAACTTACCAATAGGTAAATAATCTTGACTTGACTAATCTATCCTTGATTCTTGGTGTATTTGACAAATTTGTATCCTAAATTTTTCTAACTCAGGTGAGCCGGTGACTAACCACTGCTAGGTGGAGTTAATGAACTTCCGCTGTCTAGAAAAAGTAGTACGTCAAGATTTAATAATATCTTTAAATTTATTGCGCAATGAATTATTTTTAATTCCAATTCATTGTTATTATAATTATTGGTGATTAAAATAGTTTTGTTTTTCATGATTTTTAGGAAATTGTGAAGAAAATATTCAAACAAGTAGTTCCTTCTCGCGAATTAATATTTAAACATATGTGACATCTATAATACGTTGAATGAACTATAGTCTTGTAACATCTTGGAGGAGGGAGGGGGAGGCTGGAATGGATTGAAATGCCACTAAAACTTAACCCTGAATGTCACTATATCCCTTCTATGCAAAATACTGGCAAATGGTGAAAAGAAAAAGACCACCTGGGATAAATAAACTACTGTAATAGTATGCTAATGACCAATATCCATTTGAGACAATCATATTTTATAATTTAAGCATAATACCTATTTTGTATTCTATCTTTATTAAATATACAGGGGCATACTGAGTAGCCAGCAAATGTCAAGGGGTGCAAATTATGGCTTGCTTTTTTGATCATTTCATTTTATTAATATAAAGTCTATGAATTTGGGATATTTTACATACATTTTAGATTTCACTGATTGAAAAACCTTCTAAAGGCATAAATAAATGTCAAGCTAAACTGAGTGTTATCAAAATGATGTGTTAAGGAGTGCACATTTTAGTGTCATATGTAATTATTGATTACATTCTATGAATTGTATGTGCACCATATGTGACGTCAGTTTTTAGATTATTGCCAAGTAAACAATAACACAGGTGCACATTATCATTCAGTGTGTTTAGGCCCTGAGGCCTTACTGCTAAGTTGTATGTCATCAGTACCCAGTATATAGAATAAAACATAAGAACAATTGATGAGGTCAAGGTCAAGTTCCAATTTTTTGACAACAAGGAATTTGCTGTAATTCTTGTTGAATGATATTTACATCATTTTAATACTTCTTCATGGAATGGTCCAATGGGTTGTGCCTTTTTGATTTACTAAATATTGTATTCTGACTCATACTTTCTGTTAATGATTCAGAACTATATGTACTAGTGGTGTCAATTAACCGCTTGAGCATTAACCGGTTAACCAGGGTTTTTTACCGGTTAAAGTCGGTTAACCGGCGGGAAATTTGAACTGATGATTTCAAATGAAATCTTCATCTTCGATCTTGAAAGTTGAAAAAAATTGGAAAAATGATATATCGGCGTTTATTTTTACGTTCGTCAAGCTTTACGCTATTCTATGTAAGTAAGCGCGGGAAAGCAATGTGGCAGGGATTAAAGTTGCTGATTGGATGTTTGTAAGGAATTATCGGACCTATCACATGTATGAGTAGCTCACATGAAACTGACGCTTGAAAAACAAACAGATTAAAATGCAAAGTAAGCGCGGGAAAGCAATGTGGCAGGGATTAAAGTTGCTGATTGGATGTTTGTAAGGAGTTATGGGACTTATGACATGTATGAGTAGCTTACGTGAAACTGACACCATAAAACCAAACGGATTAGCATGCAAAATAAGTGCGGGAAATAACAGAATTATACACGGTCAACTAACCGCCCATAAAAACTCAGACCGGTCAAGGCATTATCGGCGGTTAACCGGTTAAAGGCAGGGCTCCACTATAAAAGCAGAATGTCAGTTAGAAAATGATGTAATAGCATGTTTGAAAATTTAAATGTTCACAGAATCTGACACCTCAGACCTGTTTTTCCATATATCTCTAGTATTTTTGCATGGAATCAGCTAAACTTTGTCACAATTATTCATGAATATATTCTGAATCTGATGGTAGTTTTAAATTCAAATAGTAGTTCCTATCTGGCTTGAAAATGTAAAGTAATATATAAAACTGTTACAGCAGTTATATAATAAGCTACATCAAAATTGGGTTGTAGTTTAATTTACCACATGGTAAGGAATCCCTGCCTTTAACCGGTTAATACTTGACACCTCTAATATGTACTGTACAAACTGAAATCTCATGTATATCTGATCTAAATTATCATACATGTAAATGACTTCAAACAATAATAATTAGAAAATGTACAATCAGAAAATTATATAAATCCAACAAAAGTGGTGTTCTCTGAACTTTTTAAATTATTCAATAGACCTTTCCAGTAAATTGCCAATAATATGTTATACCAGAAGCTAGGATATAATGGCCAGATGTCATAGGTTCTAGGCCAGGTAGCAATATTTCTAAGCAAAAATTAATGTATTGTTACTTTATAAAACCTTCCTAAAATTTTGTTCATGAACATGAATCATCATGAATATCAGCTTCTTTAGTGGAGCAAAAGGTGGCATAGTTTAGGCCTATTGAACATGTTGAAAAGGTCTTATAGATATGACAAACTTGGAAAAATGAAAATGATATCTTTCTTCATAATAAATGCAGTGGGAAACCACCAATTGGAATAAATGATAAATGCAGTGGGAAACCACCAATTGGAATAAATGATGGATTCTATTTTAACCATTATGGATTACCATGGAAACGTCTTGACTTAGTATCAACTTTGTGAGAAAGGATATGCAATGACTTTAGTATTGAAATGAATTCGCCATATTATAACCGAGCAAAAGTAACTTTGTTCATAGCATACCCATGGGCATAAAGTGATGGATAGCGATCTTTTCCAAAACTGGTCTCACCAAACGTTTAGATTTAACATGGGCATTCAACAATTTGGCTTATTGAAAAGATAAATGAGAAATAAAGTGAAGCAGACATAAAGCAACATTTTTTAGAAATACATCTATTTTTTACGCTTAATACTTTTCAATACAAATGACTGTTGTGGTTCATATCTGACCATCGACAAATATAAGATTTCTAATCAAAATAACATTTTAATTTTATTGTCCTAACTACATCATCAGAGTCAATAAATTGTGGTTTCGAAATAAAGTGACGCAATTTTTCTACAAAAAAACTACTGGCCTCTGATTCATTCTTGCATGACTTTGTCATGATGAACACAGTTTAAACAATATTTCACTCCCTATCAACAAAACCACACTCCCAATATTTTATCCATGGTCACTCAATGGCATTATCCAAATCTGTTCCAGTCAAAACGAAAGTCTTTATTTCCATTGATTTTATCCATGTTGTTGGTTTGATGTCTAGTCATCTTCTTAATGTTTGAAACATTATTATTTTATTAATATTAAATTAATTTCTGTCATAATCTATAGTAGCGCATGTAGTTAGTTGTCCATTCGTGCCTCTGAATATCTACTGTTTACATCCTCCCAATTGATAACATTAAAAATTGCTTTAACATAGTCCGGGCGCACATTTTTGTACTGTAGATAGTAAGCATGTTCCCATACATCAATGCCTAACAATGGGACAAGTCCTGCAAGTAGAGAATAGACAGCTACATTATAATGCTACAATCCCTGTGTTATATCTTGGTTATGGGGGGGGGGAGTGAAAGGTAGGGGGTTGTAAACTCATCATTGATTTCATAATAATATCCCTTGTATAGAAAACATACATTTATTTCCCCAAAGAGTTTTACTGAGAACACAACACAAAAATGCATTGACGTTGCCTCAAGTATTATTAAGTACCCTCTGGAAACATTATGAATTGTTTTTGTTTCATATTGTTATTTTATACAAGCACATGTAAATAAAGGACCCACGGTCCTGTACTCACACAGTTTGGAACCTTCAGAGGAATGTATATCCTGACTTTCAAACAAAAATATTGATTTGGATTTGTAGTCTCGAACTTTGAGAAACTTAGATAGCACAGTTGTGTGACCTAGTTTGATGACCTTTGACCTTGAAAATTTTACTTATTCAGAGCTCAGTAAGGTCTTTTGTGATTAAGCTGACCAAAATTTACATCCAAAAATCAATTTGAAAAATCAACTTTTTTGACCTTTCGAAGGTCACTGAAGGTTAAGTAAAGGTCAAATCCTAAAACTAATGTCAGATTTGAACTCCTGGCAACTTGTAGATGATTTTAAAAAAAAATTTGGTCAAATTGAAGCAAGTTGAAAAATAACTTATTTTTACTGTTTTTTGACGTCAAATATCTCAAAAATGGTAAAAATTTGATGCTGACATATATTGAGCAATATGTAGGGAATGCTTAAATCTAGTTATGATGCAATTCATTGCAAGAAATGATCAAGTATAAGGAAAACTTTGAGAAACTTGTCAATCAGAAAACCTGCCATTGACTTTATATATGAGAAAGTTTCCTGAAAATGACTTAGTCCTACTTTTTGTCAAATTTTATAGAGTAAACACCAAAAACTGTAAATTCCCAGAGCTTTGAAATCTTCAGAGGACATAAGTTGCATATACAGCAACTACTACAAGTTATTTGAAAGTTCTACTTCAACAAATTGTCTAGTATTTACAGAAAATTTGACTTTTTGACGTCAAAATCAGCAATTTCTCGGAAACCGGGCGAACTTGGGAAATGGCGATGATAATCAATAGGCATTATGGATATGCATAAAATGAATGTAAATATGACTCAATCCGAATAGCAGTTTTAATTTGTGAGGCCAATGTTGACGGACGGACGGACCAACGGACAGACGCCTGGTCGATCCCATAGGCTCACTGTGTGAGCCAAAAACTGAGAGACTCACATGACTCAGAGTCAATAAGACATATTAATTCATTAAAGGCACACCTGAAGGTTTAAGAAAAATTCAATTTTACATTTACATTGAGCCTTTAACGATAAGATCTGTCATCCAGAGATGCTTAAATATGTTAATCATATGCAGATCTCTAGATTTTTCTGGTGGAGCTTCAGTTTTTGAAAAACTGGTCAATATTTTCAGAAAATTATGGCTCCCTGTTAATTTCCAGATCCTTTTAATAAATGTACCTGTAGTTGCTTTTAATGGGTCCTGGTTAGCACATGTAGCTAATCTTAGCCTTCCAGATGTAGGATTATAGCCTAGCCATCCCCATCCTGACCCCTGGATTGCAACGGTCATCCCCGCCAGATCATTCTTCATCACTTCAACTGATCCAAAGTCTTTAATGATGGCCTCAAGTAAGTCTCCTGTAAATTAACACCATTTATTGGATTATTAGATGGCCTTGCATAAGTTGCATTGTGGCTCTGGCTCCTCAGCAATATGCTTGAAAGACAATGGATATGGGAGGAGACAACACAAAGGTTTCAATTGCAAAACATCCTGAGCAAGTTATAGCAACACAAGATAAACTTTATGGTTAAAATAAAAAATCCCAATTTTTTACATTTAAATTTAGACATTAAAGACGCTGAACACTGTCCACAAAAGGTTGGAGACTATTACATTATGTCACCACCTGAATCGTAAACTGATACTCAACATCAATTGCAACATATATTATTTGATTTGGGACCGCTATAAATGAAATATGTAATATTTTTATGACGGAAATTTTTTTTCTCGAAAAAGAGGCACAAGTAAAAGCCGAGGACAAATGGTGAAAATAACCAGTATATAGACCCCTATAAAATGGAGCATTAGTTAGACAACATCCATGTTTCATTTGCAAATCGGATGGACCGATGGATGAGTGGGCAATTCTATAGCCTCACCAAATTGATAACATGCACCTAATAAGTAATAAAACAGTATTTAGGTCTAACCTTACCTGTTGGTTCACCTCCTCCATTGGGGGACATGTTCTCCCAGAATATGCTGTGATTCAAGTGTCCACCTCCATTGAACTTCACCGCAGGTCCTAGAGCAATAGCCCCACTGACATCACCTACACAGAAACATAGAGGTTAACATATTATACAAACTGTACATACTGCAGGTCCTAGAGCAATAGCCCCACTGACATCACCAACACAAAAACATAGAGGTTAACATATTATACAAACTGTACATACTGCAGGTCCTAGAGCAAAGGCCCCACTGACATCACCTACACAGAAACATAGGGGTTAACATATCATACAAACTGTACATACTGTAGGTCCTAGAGCAATAGCCCCACTGACATCACCTACACAGAAACATAGAGGTTAACATATTATACAAACTGTACATACTGCAGGTCCTAGAGCGATAGCCCCACTGACATCACCTACACAGAAACATAGAGGTTACTAGTAACATATTATACAAACTGTACATACTGCAGGTCCTAGAGCAATAGCCCCACTGACATCACCTACACAGAAACATAGAGGTTAACATATTATACAAACTGTACATACTGCAGGTCCTAGAGCAATAGCCCCACTGACATCACCTACACAGAAACATAGAGGTTAACATATCATACAAACTGTACATACTGCAGGTCCTAGAGCAATAGCCCCACTGACATCACCTACACAGAAACATAGAGGATAACATATTATACAAACTGTACATACTGTAGGTCCTAGAGCAATAGCCCCACCGCAGACATCACCTAAACAGAAATAAAAATGTAAAATGTACACACAGAGCAATAACCCTGGCACTGAACCCCTTTTTATATATATATATCTTTTATTGACTCTTTAGATGTCATATCATGACATATTAGTCACTAAGGTAGAGCAGTTCTTCCCATTGTTGAACTGGTATCTTTATCCTGGCTAGAACCATAGACAATTCTAGCTAGCGCCAGTCTTTTATCGAGTTAGCAGCACTCTAGTAATCGCCGGTATAGGTCAGCAGTCATAGGTCAAAGACAAATCACAAGAAGTGCTGTGACCTGGGTTTGAACCCAAGACCTCTACTTTTCAGCCTGAAGCCAAACTTCTTGCTTTTCAGACCAATGCTACATGTAATTAGTGTACAGAAAAATGATATTTTAAGTCAGCCCTCCAAATGAATGAACACATCACTTGTACAAATATATATATATATTATCTAACCTGTAGCTATTGCCTCTTTGAGCTTTTCCTCTGCCACATTCAGGTTATTGACATATGTCTGATGATGTTTGGAGTGGTGGAGTTTCATTATATCAGCAGAGATATATGGCTCCAAGGCATTGTAATCATAAGGCAGATCAGGAAGAGTATGGTAAAGCCTGCTTGAAACACAACCTAGGATGTTCGGCTGTGCAAACCTAGAGGAATATAGGGAAAAAATAGTTCAATAAACAGCTAAAGAGACAAGTTTCAGAAATCACAATGCAGTTCTAGACTACGAGATTTTCCAACGATGATGAATTTACTATAGACCACTATAGCGCTTCACAGGGTGAACAACAACAGTTAATAAAGGCATACCTGTATGTGCATGTACAGTTGAATTGTTATTTGGAATAATGAATGAGGAAACCCTTTGAGGGGCTCCCAAGGGGTATGTGATAAGGCGACCTGGCCTCTAAAAATGTGACTAAATGGGACTTTGGGGTACTAAAAACGAACAAATGTGACAAACAGATGCTTGTAAGTGACAATTTTGTACATTAATAGGACTGACAAGTGTTTTGAGAGTGACAAAAATAGACAATTCATTCTGAATGTAAATTGACGCAAGTTAAGATGACTAATTCTAACCAGTAATTAAACAATTAAACATAACAGACTATTTAGTGCATTACATGCTAGTATGTATCTAACAGACTGACTAGAAGTCAGTCTGTTATGATGTACTACTTTCCTGTGGAAATTGCAGTGAATTTTTTTGCCCAAAATTATCAATTAGAGGAACCATTTCTTCGATAAAATAAACATTACAAAATTTCAATTAAATAGTAAGGTACAATTAAATGCAATACAAGAACACAAATGTGTACAAAATGTCCCCACCAATGGGTGATCCCATGAAATGGTTATCCTGAAAATGAGTAGACAAGACTTTACCAACACAATTTTAATTGATCCGTCACACAGTTAACTAGAAAACATGTAAACAAGACTTTACAGACAAGATTTTAGGATGGAAAATCCAAAATGGCTGCCTTGACATTTACCCAGAATGTCAAAAAACTAATCTGTTCCTAGATTTTCATACTAAGAATCATCCCTGAAAATATGACATTGATCTACCAAATGGTTCACCTGAAAACGCGTAGACAAGACTTTACAGACAAGATTTTAGGACAGAAAATCCAAAATGGCTGCCATGACATTTACACAGAATGCCAAAAAACTAATCAGATGTAGATTTTCACACTAAGAATCATCCCTGAAAATTTGAAATTGATCTACCAAACGGTTCACCTAAAAACGCGTAGACAAGACTTTACAGGCAAGATTTTAAGACGGAAAATCCAAAATGGCTGCCTTGACATTTATCCAGAATGCCAAAAAACTAATCAGATCTAGATTTTCATACTAAGAATCATCCCTAAAAATTTGAAATTGATCTACAGAACGGTTCACCTGGAAATGCATAGACAAGACTTTACAGACAAGATTTTAGGACAGAAAATCCAAAATGGCTGCCTTGACATTTGCCCAGAATGCCAAAAAACTAATCAGTTCTACATTTTCATACTATGAATCATCTCTGAAAATTTGAAATTGATCTACCAAACGGTTCACCTGAAAACGCGTAGACAAGACTTTACAGACAAGATTTTAGGACGGAAAATCCAAAATGGCTGCCTTGACATTTACCCAGAATGCCAAAAAACAAATCAGATCTAGATTTTTATACTAAGAATCATCCCTGAAAATTTGAAATTGATCCACCAAACTGTTCACCTGAAAACACGTAGACAAGACTTCACAGACAAGATTTTAGGACGGAAAAATCCAAAAGGGCCAACAATAAAAAAGTAATTATGTGATTTTGCTGATTTCTTCTTACAAAATTATCACATATTACTACTGTTAACAATAACATAGGCTTTTACAACAAAGTAGATCTGAAATTATTTATAAAGCTACTAAATAGTTAAAGTATGAAAACTCAAAAACACCATTCAATATGATACAAAGTATTATCGTGCGCTAACTTTTCTTAAGACATTCAAAATGGCTGACATGACTGAGCTAACAGGTCCAAAACCTAATCAGATCTAGAATGAAGTGAGCTGAACAAGATGTTAAAGTTTTAAAAGCAACTGTGAAGCCGTTTTTCTTAAAGTTTGCAGACAAGGATTTTAGCATTTGACTTCAAAATGGCCGACAGGAAGTAGGTATCGAGTTAAAATTTTTTCATCCACATCTGTATGCACTCATAAGTTATCCCTGAAAATTTGAAGGTGATATCTGTAGCGGTTTTGGAGAAAACTCCCGGACGTACGGACAGACGGACGGACGGACAGACGGACGGACGTACGGACGGACAGACGGACGCGCCTAGGCCGACAATATGGCCCCACACTATGTGGTGGGGACATAAAAAAGTAACACAGCATATTGTCAAGTGGAAATAAAGCTAAGGGAAGTAACAAATGTGCTAATTAATTTTACCCAATCAGCCATTTTGAATAGCACTTCCTATGTAAACAAATATTATAAATTACCAAACTTTAACATAGGTGCCTTTTACTCGAGTCTCTAGCTTACAGCTAGACGAAACTTCATTGATTTCGTATGTACTGTGCTACACGCACCTACACGCACCTAGAACTCATTTTTAATAAATTTTATAAATATTTTTAAGAATATTAATCATATTTAGGATGAAGCGTTGCTTGTCTGGATTTAGATATTTCAAAATTTCATTTCGGAGTTTCAACACATGGTGAAATTTTCTCGCTGTAGCTAAAAATGGCTTCCGGTTCTGGACGTGAATAACATTTGAAATTATTCTCGCTAGACTAAAGAAATCAAATATAACAATAGATTCAGACGGGGATGTGAGCTGGTGTTCTTCAAATCTATACATAAAGGTATATTTCATATTATTATGCCATATTTACTGTGCGTGTGACACAATGATTTACAATATTTATAATACTAAGGCAGCTCAATCTTCCTCCTCAAAGCCGGAATATAGAGAAGGCTTTGGACCGAAGTAAGGTGCCTTATAGTCTGAATATAATTCAGACTAAATAGGGTATAGTCTAATTACATGCTTTGAGTGACTAAAAAGGAATGAATCTGACAAAATATGACAAGCAAATTTGAAATGTGACAAAGTGAGAATTTTGAAACTTTAAAAGTGACAAAAGCGACTTCACTGCCCCCTCTTTGGGAGCCCTCTTTGAGTAGATCAACCAAGCGAAAACATCTTTTATCATTTTCTGTATTCATTTGCAGATCTTGGAAAGAAAAGAGACCCAAGTGCAGATGACAGCACTTTATGGACTGGTCAAAGTTTGACCCAGCTGAACTAAAGTATTGAGGATAGATGGTGCTCAATCCCTATTGGAAGTGGAAACCTTGATTTTGAACACCAAAAGGCCCCAAAACATTGTTGAAACTTGATAGTAGAAAATAATACTGTAAATAGAACAATACATAAATAGTATAGACCATGCATTGGAGGATAATTTTATTCATACAAATATGCCGATTCTAAGACATGACAGATGAGTTTACCTGCTCAAAACAGCCAATTTTGAAGACAACATTTTGACCTTTTCTTCCTTATTTTTCCAAACACCTTGGTCACGTGATGAAATTTAGTATGTACGAGATGTGCGTTGTCAATGCTATAAATATATTCACTGCCGTAAAACAATGAAATAATATATTTCCTAATTTTATATTTGTGAATATAGCCACAAAACAGTGATAAAGTCGTACTAATGTAAAAATTGTAGAATTTTACCCAGAATGCAACTTAAATTCGCATGGCGGCCTCCTTCCCGTTCCGAAATTATTTGAAATTCATGCACAAATAATGAAATATCTCCAACGTTGCTAGGAAAATATCTATAATTTGATGTTATAATGAAACATACGCAAGTGTGATAATACAAGGTAGGTTTATTTCTCTTCTGACCTTTAACATCTTTGCAGAAAATGCAACTCAAATTCAAACTTACTCTTATTTTCAAGTTTCATCTGGCGGCCATGTTTTTGTCAAATTTATGAAAAGAAACTCACTGTTTATGGACTTATGTGAGCCAATTTTATCCTAGCTCTACGTTCAATTTGTTCTTTGATATATGGTGACTAACAAACAATTATTTTTATCAGAAGTAGATGACTTCAATTTGACATAGTCTGGCTGTCATTGCATGTCAATGATTCTGACTTTGGTACTCATTTCATATAAGATTTCCCTGGAATCTTGGCCACTATTTCACATTAAGTTTGAATGTAGTCATTGGAAAGTAGATACAAGTCTGACAAACAAAACTCTTTATTTTCGGAATTTTTCCAAGATGAAGGGCTTTTTTCTTTTGACTTTCATTTGGTTTTATTTGTATGCAAACTGACAATTAAGGACTGTGAGTATGCGATTTGTGTTTCTACTTACATGTATTATTTACATTATCAGACAGGATCAGAGTGTTCATGGTTCTAGGCTTACTTAAATATTTATTTGCAGAAAAACAACAGGTGACAGTGTAATGTCGGGGCCACCAAGAAGGGTGTCTCTAGGAAGAGAGGACCTCCACAGGCTCTCAAAAGAAGAGATTCTAGAAATGTAAAGATAATTAGGATTATTTACAAACCTAGATAATGATATTTTACCTACTTCAGTTCTGCATATCAAAATTACAATATTGCCATTTGTCGAAAAATTTCAAAATATAAATGTACTCACATTCGAGTCAGTACTAGTTCTTAGCTCGGTGATGTATAGAATGACAGTGTGTGTATAATGTATTTCTTCAAAAGTTCAAAATAAACTGAATATCAGGATTTGATTTTCAATCTCTTATCTGAATATATTCTCATTACAGGTGGGAAAAGCAAGAAATATATTTGGACTTTTTAGAAACTAGAAACCCAGAAAAAGCCAGTAAGTATAATAGTTATATTATATGTTGCAAGTTATAAGTTATATTTGGGTTTGCTGAGAAAGAATCATTTTTGTTCCCAAAGTGTAGATTTACATAACAAATACATCCCATTGATTAATAAAATAGAAAAAGATCACTTGATTATATAATTATCACTTTTTCAGATGAAAGTAAGATGATTGATGAATTCATGGCACTTAGAGATTCTGAGGAAAAGTTAAGGCAACAACAAATAGAAGCCACAAGGAGAGAAAATGTGCTAGTTATGCGCTTAACAACCAAAGAAAGGGAAATGCAGGACTATGCTGTAAGGGAAATATATTTCTGGGAAACAAATATATTCTTAAACATATAATGTTTACATGATTTCCATATCTGAGCTATGGAACGATCGTTAATATGCCAGGGATATTCATGTGGAGAGATTGCAAGATTTGAAAGACTGAAAATTATTTGTAGTCGATACACATTCAGCTATTGGAAATAATTGCAAAAAATTTGGAGGAAAACTCATCACTTCACGAGGATGAAATTGGACCATGTATTGTTTTTGCTCCTGGTGTTACTTATTTGCAAAATAAGATATATGGATACAGAAAACAAAACCTCAAATGGATAATTGTATACAATGTATAGGGCAGTTGATTTAAAACACAATGTTTATTTTTCAGAACCAGTTATCAGAACTGACTAAAGCACAAAATACTAGCCCCTCCCAGTTACGGTCTATGCTACTGGATCCTGCCATTAACCTCATGTTCCAGAGAATGAAAAAAGAAATGGACAATAGTAGAGATAAATTAGAACAAGCACAGAAAGATCTCGCGGCATGGAAGTTTACTCCAGACAGGTGTGTGTTAAAACTAGGCTTTAAATTTATTTGGAAAAGTTACATTATCAAGATAACTGTACAATAAGCCCAGTCTTAATCCCTCAATAATAGCTGAAATGATTTGGTTGGGGAAACAATGACTATGTAGTGTCAGAGAATTTCAATCGAGAATCATAGAGAGGTCAAAAAAATTTTAATTGAAATTGTGGCATTTCTATTTAAGCGGGATATAAAATCAAGTAGTCTAACAGCTCTATTCCTACACATATTATATTATATTAAAAGAAGATTTACATTAGACTCACTTTAAATTTTATAATTATTTTTCTTTTCAGCCAAACAGGAAAGAGACTTATGGCACGTTGCCGCATGCTTCTTCAGGAAAATGAAGATTTGGGTAAAACAATAGCTTCGGGACGTATAGCGAAATTAGAAGGAGACATTGCGCTAGAAAAGACGCTCGTTTCTGAGCTGAAGAAAAGTCAAGCAGGTATAAGTACTAACCATTTGAAAATACAACAGGTTATAATCTAAATAAGCTTGCTTGAAAGTAAAGTAGAAGCTCGAAGCAAGCTTCATGGGGAAAATGTATCCTCATATGTGTCAAATGACGAGGAGATATCAAATGGTTGACCTGTTTGATTACCGGAAGCTTATTTTATGTTGAATACAGAAATAGGCATATGAAGCTCCTTGTGGGCCTTCTTAGGAAAGCAGTGTATCTTATAAATATAATGGAGTTTAATGATAGGAATTGGCCTCTTAACTCCTTGTGCTCTTTCAAAGGAAAGCATGTATTGACTGAATACGGAAGATGAACTAGAATTTGTTCTAGCGTCAGGCTCCTTCTAACATGTTGTATTATACATAAAGAATACTGCACTATATACAGCATGGTTGTGAATTTTGTGAGAGCAGAGTACCCAATGGGGTACTGTGATAGCAGGGTCTAGAGGATGCAGGGGTTTCACTAGAATTTCACACAAAAATAAATGAAAACAACAGGCAAAATTAATGGAACTCATAAATTTAACATGGAAAAGTTGAAAAGTCCCTAAAAACAACAGGCGATTTTTTGAAAACAACCAGTGAAAATTGCCTGTTGCCTGCTGCTAACGAAACCCCTGGGATGGAACTGGAAAACATGTAGAAATTACGTTAACCTAACTGTGCTAGTTGCAAAAAAATATAAGTTTTAAAGGTTGTATATAATTATTGAAGTGTTTCTATTTCTTTTCAAAGCCTTAATACAGCATGTTGCTGTGTATGATACTGAAGTTTACTTACATATTTGAAGTGGATACTCATCTTTTATTCCGTGTTAAGAAAACAGAAATTGATAACATTTTGACTGAGTGGGAGCTGTTACAATGACCTCTACATTTAGCAATTTTCGGAAATGTTTCATCTAGTGAATTAATGATGGAACTATTAATTCAATTACAATAACATTGCCATTTTTGGGCTTATTACTTGAAAGCATTATATGCTGTTATTATTATGTCACCACCAAAAAGTGGTGACATATTGTTATAGTCTCTGTTTTTTGTGACGGGTTGGTGTTTGGCGTCTGTAACAAATTCTTACAACGTTCAATAACTTAACAAAACTGTTAAGACTGACTCAGCTTGCTTCAAATTTTCCATTAGTTCTCAGAAGTTCAAATCTAATGAGATTTGACCTTATCAAGGTCAAAATGGTATTTTTTCAACTTCCTTCAAATTGACTAGAATTTTTTTCGTAATCAAAATTCTCAGAAATTCAAATCTGATTTTTTTAGTTTTAGGACTTGACCTTCAATGACCTTCTCAAGGTAAAAAAAGGTCAAAGGGTCTTTTTTCAACTTGCCTCAAATTGACCAATTTTTTCCAAAATTATCTACAAGTTCTCTGAAGTTCAAATCTGACTTGATATTGAACTCATAGTGTTCAGGTGACATTTTGTCATATTTGGACTCGTTTTGTGTTATTTATGACATATTCACAATTGAACAACATTAATAGATATAGTATAATTCAAATTTAATACATACATCGTAATTCAAATTGTCTAGTATTATTTCCTGCTAGTCAAGTATAAAATCATGCCAAACTTGCCCATTTCAGTGTCACTGCTACCCACCTAATTACACGGCCGTATCGTCGGTGTATCATGGCGGAACTTCCTCCGGGACAAGGTTTCTGTAAGATTTTTTTATTTCCCGATTTACACCTAATTATAAGTCACGTTGAGGATAATAATTTGGCTCGAAGTTAAGGAAGATAGTCTAGTTTGAGAACGTGTCGATGGTTTTAGGTTTTATATGTTAACAAAGACACAATTCATGTATTTAGTCCCTCGCTTTTCTTACACTGACGAACGACCAATATCAGTGTAATATTGGCAATATTAATGCCGATCGTCAGTGTAAGAAAAGCGAGGGACTAAATACGTGAATTGTGTCTTTGTTAACATATAAAACCTAAAACCATCGACACATTCCCAAACTAGACTATCTTCCTTAACTTCGAGCCAAATTATTATCTACAACGTGACTTATAAGTAGGTGTAAATCGGGAAATAAAAAAATCTTACCGAAACCTAGTCCCGGAGGAAGTTCCGCCATGATACACCGACGATACGTCTGTGTAATTAGGTGTGTAGCAGTGAGTGTGGTTAAGCAACTTTGTAGGCGAGAATAAAAATGAAGCCTACTTGCCTAGTAGCAAAGTATTAAAAAAAACGAGTCTCCATGACTGATGTTAATGCCTTATCATATACTGGTATTAATATGAGGAATTGATTGCAATATGATATAGAATGCTCATTATATACACATTAACTTTGTATATAAATGTAAAATAATTTGGGGAATCTACTAACAGTTAAAGGGTTTCTCAAAGCTATCGTTGTGAGGGAAATGACGTCACATTACAGTGAATTTCCACAAGAGTGGGCTACAAGTATTTTGTCATCAATATGTATTGGTTTGTATGGAGACATTCATTGTTGTGACATATGTTATGGGGAATTCCTAACAACGGCCCCCCAGGCAATGTCCAAATACTTTCACTTTCGTTATGAGAGTACTTTCACGCTTGATTAGAAAGCTGAAGTGTATTTATTGCATTTAATTGATGAAAAGGAATCCTAATTGATGATATTCTTCAAAAAACTCATAGACAGGTTCCAATTCTAATAATTCAAGTTTTTGAGGCATTTTTTAGAAAAAGCAACAGACCTATTTTTACTCGATCAGTTTTTCATGCTGATAAAGATATTAAAAGATGACAGCTCAACGGGGTGGTCACGACACTGAATTTTGGCATTTTTACCCCCCTAGGAAAATATTCTAGGGGGTACTATGAAACTAGTTCATAACTCAAAGGATATATGAGCTATTGTTCTGAGTTGTACACCATACATTGCTAGTACAAATATGAATGCTATCCTAAAGTAATAGGTTGATACCCTTATTGGTTTTAGAAAAATACAATAAACAGGAAAAAGATATGTAATTTTTGTCTTGCCAATTTTATATTTGTAGCTTCAAGCAAAATATGACAGCTTTAACAGCTCATAGTAGTATTCTCAAAACATTTTCAAGCTATGTGCGGTATTGTAATACATCTATTTTAGTTATGAAGTACTATTTTGTAATTTTAATATGACTTTATAGTGCCCTACCCCTGGAAAATTGAAGAAAGTGGATGTGGTGAATTTTATCATTTTTCAGCATTAAGTAAGAAACATGTATTGATAGACACCAAATCAATAAATTCATACCATCATCAAATGTTAGGTGACATTCTAATTCATTTATTACTAGAATATAGGACTTAAGATATTTTATATGTAAGTTTTCAATTTAGTACATGTATCATAATGAAATCTAGTGTAATCACATACTAGAGAGGACATTGACATAAAGTCTAAACATTATAATCATCAATTGATCTCATTTGAGCAACTAGACTATGGTGGTCATCATGCACAAGTAATGTACTACAGTGCCCCATGTACTAGGGCACGAGTCATTTGAGCCATATACCTCCTAGTATATACCGTTACAACCCATTCAGAAGGGTCATTTACAATGTGCAAAACATGGCAAAAGTTCCGTAAAACTGTTAGTTCTCATCATCTGACTATATAGTAGAGTCCTCATTAAGCCATAATGAATCACAGCCAGATGTTAGAAAAGTAGCTAAGAATCTTTTTTATTAACCAAAGATGACTTTCCCACCGATGGTGCCTTACACTTGTATAACTTAGTGTAACTTATTTATTATTATTTGGGAGAATTCGAACATTTCCCCCTTTTTACACTTTGAATTTTAAACAACACTACCAATTAATAATATATTGTGGATCTTTTGGGAGATATTATATTTGAGATTGTAAGAAATACATTGGTAGGTCAACTGTACATGTTGCTTTCAATTTTATTTACTCTACATAGATCTGATTTTGTATTTAAATACCAAGACTTCAGTTTACTTCAACTGTCATGACTAAAGCATTTGATAGTATTTACATAATAATGTTATAAAGGAGCATGTGGGTTATCGCAAACAACTCCAGACAATGGTCCTTTTTCCATATAGCTTTGAAATCTCGTTAAGGTCTTGTTTTTAATGAGATTTTAGGAGATCTGCATTTTTAACCATTAAAAAAGTTTTCTTCCATCTGATGGCATATTTGAATTCTGTGAGTAATTCTCTATCAAAACAACTTTGATTTGCACTGTTATTTACCATTATTCAAATTCTAATGATTTTCTGGTTGTCTAAAAAAGGTCGGGCTAAATCCCCATTGACACAATGCTGAAAAACCTTTTAAAGTTCATTTACTCTTACAAGGATCACAATTTTAATGTGAAATCACAATCCACATGTCAATAAGATCATATAGTTACATTCGAATGATGTTTTAAGTTGATCCAAATGGAATTACTTCTTAAATCAAGAAATTAAGTGACTCTGGCAATACATTTACATGTATTCTAGCCCTACCCAAGCTCTACCAATACCCATGATGCCATCTATTTTTCATTTATATGGAAAAGGGTCAATTTTAACTTGAATTATGAATATTTTCTGACCATGAACATGGGTATATCTTTTAGATCCATTCACTATCTTCAAGAAAAGTAAATATAATGATTAATCAGACCTAAGTGATATTAAAGGGAATGGCCCAGTCAACATACTTTTTACTAAAAATGATGACCTAGTTTTTACCAAAGATGCAACCTTTAAAGGAATATTCCTTGCCAAACCATCTCTCTCCTCATATGGTAGCTATAACCATATATATGCTTGCCATGTATAGCAAAACACGCAAAAATGTTTTGATATGGTCAAATTTGATCACTTAGAAAATGTGATGCTCAATTCCAGTAAGCTGCCATCTTTTAAAATTTCACACAGGAAGTGATGTCATCGACTCTCAACTTTGCATATAGCATTAGGTGAGGAGCTATTAAGAATTACAAAACCAGCTAAATAT